AATGGGGTCATTGTTTTTTCCTATATATAAGAAGTACCCTACAATAATAAAGTTTCATGTTAGCAGAGAGAGCTGGTGACAGTAGCTTTTTTAAAAATATGCACAACTGCAGCTGTGGCTAGAATAACACAGGTGGGCAGGAATATTATGTTAATCGGTTTATTCATGGTAACAGGAATACTGCAGAGTATTAAAGGTGCATGCAAACAGCTAAATATGAATAGAGTAACGACTGTGCAGGATGGCTCCTTTGCTCCCTCTCATGGTAGATGTCTGTATTGTCTCTACCCAACACTCTCTATAAGGCCAGTTTAATTGAATGTAATTGAATAAGTTGAGCATTGTTTTCCCTCTCCTGTAACTGAATGTGTGTATTGCTGACAAAAAGCATGCTGCAATTCATGGACCTAGTTAATTTTAATTATAAACCTTAACTTTTTTAAATTAAGCTTGGTTCTGTGCCCCTCCACTATTTATAGTCTGTCTCTGCTGAAGTGTCTTTAAGTAAGGCAAACATTGAAATTATTCTTGCTGCAGTTACTGTTGCACATTTCTTACCATGTGTCTTTTTCCTCTGTGATGACAAGATGATGGAACAAACTCTTAAATGTAATACTGTATGTGTAAAATGGAAAGGCGATGCTCCTAAAATTAGTTACTGAATTATTAATAGTACCCTGTGTGCTGTACAGACTGTAGTTTGCAAGTTTTAAGAAAAAAAAACCCTCAAAGGTATTGTAGCGACTAAGGGCCTAATATTGCACCAATCAGAGTCTCAGCTCCAGCACCTCCAATAAGCCTTTATTAAGTGAGTCATGACTGATCTTTTTATATTGACCATTAGGTCCGTTGCCTTTTCTTAACAGAGTTTGGGTCATTTATGTAGAAAATAAAGCCTGCAGTAGATCTAGGCCTAAGAATATGCATTTTGATCTTAGACAGCTCAACTGTAAATTATATATTCGTTCATTCGTATTAGTTGTATATATGCATATCAAAAGACTTATGGTGTTTATTATGTTAAATCCTAATGTCATATATCCCTTGAAAATCTGCCGAGGGAACCCAGAACTGAGCTGACTTCAAGGCTGATCCACAAAAAGTTGTCATCACTGGATTAGTTTGACTTCTGACTAAAAAAAATGAATGCCCGTTGAATAAGTGTGGATCTGTTACATTTAGTTTCTTCTCAGCCATGAAAACTTTTGATAAGTTGTCCAGAGCTGCTATATTAAGATGCAACTATCTTATTGTTAACTTTGGTTCGTAGGTTCTGGCTAGCGGTCCAGGAACTAAAGAAACGTCCCATCAGAGAAGTTCCAACCCGGGTTCAGGAGATCTGGCAGGAGTTTCTGGCCCCCGGAGCGCCCAGTGCCATCAACGTGGACTCCAAGAGCTACGACAAAACCACTCAGAATGTCAAAGATCCCGGACGCTACGCCTTTGAGGATGCACAGGTGACTGATTGATCGAAAGCAAATGATACAAATACATTAAATCATGTTCATAGCTATTTTCTGTAGAGGTTTATATACGGTTTTACGCAGAAAAGTTCAACTTTTGTCTGGAAACATTGCTCATGATCTAAACACTTCATCGTGCAACTGATACAACAGCAGCATCTTCTCTCCTGGCAATTTATGAATCACAGCTCTGCTTTGGTGCTCACTGGAATTTCTATTCAACACAATCTGATACTTGTCTGATGCTTTAATACATTATTTAATACATCATTATCATATTCTTTGTTTCTACAACAGGAACACATCTACAAGTTGATGAAGAGTGATTCTTACAGCCGTTTCATCCGTTCCAGTGCCTACCAGGAGTTATTACAGGCCAAGAAGAAGGTAAAAAAAACAGCCTGACTCAAAACACTGGATACATACACGTCTCAGTTTGAAAATAAGATCAAATGCAGACAAGTACATGCAGATGACAGTGCATGCTAACAACCTGTGTTGCTGTTTGTACATTCACTGATGCTCCAGTCTTGGTGACGCTGAAACTTGCCCTCCTGGCGCCCACAGTCATGCCTTTTCAAAGTCTGTTAAATCACACTTTAAGCCCATTCCCAGAAATCCACTCACATATTGAACAAGTGTGGAAATTTAACACTGATGTAATTCTGCTCACTAACTATATACAGACATTTTTGACCATTAAGGGGCAGAAAAATAGTCCTGAGATATGATTATTATTACGTAATGTTTGCAAACAGTTGGCAGATTTAGAACAACACCGGTGTCCCGATGGAGCTGTGATTCTGTTCCTTTTAGCTTGTCGTTTGGTCTCAGCTAACTCCTGAACAAAAGCTCGTCTGTCTTGAGCTGCAGAGTTGGATGTTTTCCCCAGTAGATTTAACACTCCAAGCAACGCCTTGAAATTACATGCAGTCGTTTGTGTTAATACCACAACTGTCGCTTAAAGCAAGCTCAAGTATATGTTTCCTACAAACATGCAATGTATCTGAAATGGATATAAAATCCCTGAATTTCAGCGGTGTACGTGACAGAGTCGGTTAAAGGTGCGAACTAAAGAACATGTCAAACAAAGTGGCTCCTGCGTGTCGGCAATGCCAACGAGGGGCAGAGAGTGTGAATAGAAGGTATTAATAGAGTCTTGCTAAAGGTGTGGGTGATGGAGTAGCTGATCGGGACTCCTGTCAGGCTTGTAGAAACCATTATGAATAGCAGAGACACGGAGTGTGTCATAACATGATGAATAATTCAGAATTACACAGGTGTATGTATGTGCTTAAAGCCTGCTCCGTCTCACGCCTCCTACACTTCCTCTGCTTGTCATTCTGGCTAAGGAAGATTTTATTTTTATTGGCAGGGATTTTAACAGGAAGAAGCAGCCAAATCTACATCAGTTCCTAGGTGTACGTTATGTTTGTTTTCTTTCTCATATCAAAATAGCATGTGAATACAGTTCACTGGAAGTGACTCTTCACTATTTAGTCTCTTTTGATGCAGTTTTTCCTTTTTGAATGGCTTTATAACGATGGCGGAGTAATCCTCTGCACAGCATTAAGAACGCCTTCACGTAATTATCCTTTTTTTGTTCCCACAGAAAAGTAAGAACTTGTTCTGAAGGCTCTTGCTTCCAGGTAATGTCCAATACAAAATGATACATACTGAACATTGGAATTTGGTTGTTGTAGTCTTAGTGATGCTGCCAACCACTGTAGATATCTTGTGATAGCCACTAAATAAAAGTATTCACTTCCCCACCTGTCTGTTCCTCTCTCTTTTCTCTTCTCCCAGTGCAGGGGAAAACCACAGCATCCAAGAGGCTGACCAGTCGTGTGCCATCATGCTAAATTCAATGCCATCTCTCTCTCTGGGACATGGAGAGGGGGACCATCTCATCTCTTCATCATCATTGTCTGTCCATCCGCTCTAGGCTCAGCCGGGCGATGAGCCGGGCCGTCTGTTCGTCTGTTGTCCACCGGATGTTGCATGTCCATGGAGAGGACGCTCCTTCTTCTCTCTCCTCTTACAGTACCTGATATATTTCCAGTATTCTCAGAAGGGAGGCACTGCTGGACTTGTGAGGACACTGACAGACTGGCGAGATGAAAAATGCCATTGGAAAAAAGAAAAAAAAAAAAAAAATCGAATCCAGTATTCCAGTTCTTTCCATCGTAACTGCTGGATCAGAGCCCCCTCTCTCACTTCCAGCTCAAACAAATGATGTCAGAGAGAAAAAAAAAAAAAACACATAGAAAAAAAATATAAAATGACAGCTTAAACTGATAAATCTAACCAATGTCATCGCTTTACATGATCTGAGGTCACAGATACTTTGTCACGCTATGGGAAGTGTTGTGCAGAATGAATATACAATATATATACATATATATATTCTGATTATTATTATGATTATTTATTGTGCATTTATTTTTGCTTTGAATTATTTTATTGCACTACAATAATTAGCACATATGGTTTTCATTGCACTTGTAAAGTCACATTCAAAATTACAAAAATGCTGTCTCCTGTCTTATGTAGAACATAATTCTTTGTTATTCTCTCCTGCATTTATTTTTATACCATATTTAAAGACACTTTTACTTACTTGTATTATTAAAGTTGGCCCTCTATCTGTTACTATGACTTGGTCTGAATGTGTTTTCTTTTTTCTTTAACTTCTTGGACACACAAAATGCCACTATAACGAAGTGCAGCATTCATTCTTTCACACTTCTCCCTTCTACCACTAGAGGGTGATAAATTATTTGCTACAGCAGGGATCTGCCTCTTTTCAACTGGCTCCTCGTCAACACAGATCAGCAAAATGCACCACGGTACTTTGCAGACAAATGAAGTTTTGTCATGCAAAAGTGTCATCATCCTCTGGTCTGTTGAAGGGGTTATTGTTCAGACTGTACCCATCTGAGGTTTTACAGGGTCTGTTGATGTCTCAGTGCTTTGATGGCAGAAGTGACAGTCAGTGTTTTCAGTCTCTGTGCCCAGTGGTCAGCTTAGCAAGAGCCACAAAACAGACAAACATTATTGTCTCAGTTGCATCAAGGAATGCAAGTTGTGGCATTTTTCAAAGCATGCTGTTAGTGTGTCTGGATACATGCATGCAATGATTTATGGATCGGGGTTATGGGTTGTAATGTGATGTGGTTACAGTGTCAATGAAAGAGGATAATTTAGGTTTTTTTGGAGCAGATTATTGTTTCTATACATGGTGGCAAAATGTCTTACACTTCCTGAAAATGTAAATGCAAATGTCAAACACAGGGGAAGAGGAAAAGAAAAAAAGAGGATAAAGGAGAAGCTGTCAGTTTGATAGGTTTGAAATATCATGGATGAGTGGGCACTACAACAAAGAGATATATGAAAAAAAATCAGTAGGCAGACAGAGACAGACACAGGGAGAGACAGACTTAAATGAAAGAAGTGAAGCTTGGTTTGATTCACACAATGACCAGGGCCAATAGGAAAAACCCTCCCAGTCTTGAGGAGGGAAGGGGTGGTGGGGATTCAAACTGAGGCAGGCTTTACAGTGAGTCGAACACTCTCAAAGACAGACTACAGGCAGTGTCCACAGCACTAAGATACGGGCTTACTGTGACGTAAACCTGGAGCTTTTCTCTTTAACCTGAAAACAAGAAGACGAAAAAGAGAGAGTCAGACAGAGAGAGAGGGAGTGAGACAGAGATACACATTTTCCAGGAAGATGGAAAACTGATCGTGTCCAAGACTCTGAATCTTTAGCAACGGGGGAAAAAAAAAAAAAACAGGAACAAGGACAAGCCTGAGGATACTACAGATTATGTTGCCATGGAAACCGAAACCTGGAAGCGGACGCAAGGACCACTGAAGGTGGACAACCATCCCTGACTGCATCCTCAACACATTACTGTCCCGCTGCGCACTGTGGTGAGAGGTACATAAACCATACTTTATGCTTCACTGAGATAACACTTATTTAACACTTAATCAAAAAACACCCGTTCAACAGTTTTACAGCTTGGAACAACTTTCTAGGGATGTTTTGAAATGTCAACTACCGTAACCGTAAGAGCATGTAACAAATTCCAAATTAATGTTTCATTCAAGAAAGTTATTGATGCAGGATGATACACGTGGACATACAGTATAAATTACCTCACTTCATTGGCTGAACTTTCCTTTTAAACAACAGGATTTCAAAATACAAAGAAAAATGCTTTCAAGATGGACATTCTTGGCAGTGTGTGTTAGGGAACAGTGATTATATATATATTTATGAAAGTAGCATATGTCATTTGGGGTTACTGAGAAAAGTGTAGCTCAGTGAGTGCTGCTTTGGGATATCCCACGTGAGTGTGAGACCGAGTGACTCAGTGAGTCCGTGAATGACTAAGCGCAGAACCATGTCACTCGAACAGCAGTAGTTGAACTGCTACTTAGTATTTCTGCCAGCACTGATGGTTTGATTTCCACTGGGGCCACCCATAATAAAAAATGTACGCCTTTAAGGTACTGTAAGGTATTTTGGATAAAAGTGTCTACTAAATGACTATAATTAGTGGCTGGAGGTTCCAGGGCATTAGTGTTGTGAGTGAGAGAATTAGTGAGTGATGACAGCGTGTTGTACAGAGAGTCTCAGTGAGATTAAGAGTCAGTTTAGTTTTTCCAGTGAATGTGAAAAAGGAGAGAAGGAGAGATAATGATGTTCATGTACATGAGGAAAATGTATTCTGTGTGTACAAAATAATCACTATTCTTTTTCTCTGTTCATGTGTACAGGTGTATATCCTTGTTTGTGTGTGTGTGTGTGTGTGTGTGTGTGTGTGTGTGTGTGTGTGTGTGTGTGTGTGTGTGTGTGTCTGTGTTCACTTTTGTATCATTACTGTATTTGTGTGTAGTCATGTGTATGTTGATTTGTATCCAAGATGGTGTGTGACCACATGTGTGTGTGTGTGTGTGTGTGTGTGTGTTGTTTGTGTGTGTGTGTGTGTGTGTGTGTCTACAGTATGCGTGCGGTGAATGGTAGAGAGTTTGCCTTCTGATCCTTCTTACAGCTCCGGTGACTGCACCACCTTGTACAGTCCGCTCTGATGTCAAAGAGGATTTAGCGCACAGACACATTACAGTTTCTTTAGCAACAGAAAACTCTGCACAGTAAGCTTCTAAAGATAGTAAAACTGGTATTTGATAGAAACCTTAACAACATTCTTAAGATGTGAAGTTTTACGCTTATACACCCGACCAAGTACTAAGAAAACACTCAGGAAAGCGGATTAAAATGGCAGTGAAATGCTGCAGTCTGTCCTGCTGTGATTACTTTTTTTTCAACCAACAGAACATTCACCTTGCTTGAGAGCGAAATATGGCTTAAAAAAGCCGACTTTAAACACTTTAACATGCTGTGGCCTGTCGGTGCGCCAGTCATTGCAAACTCATGCTGTGCAGCCAAACATTGTTCAAACCCACATTATTTAAAATTCTAGTGGGAATCCTAAACTTTCCAAAGACACCAAATGATGCTCAAGACGTCTAGAATATTTCTATTTGATTAAATGGTAAACCCATAAAAGACATGGAGTCTTGGTCTCGGATGTTTCATCCATAAAAATCATATCGCTTCAGTGAAGCGCTGGAACAAGCTGATACAGAGTATAAATGTGATACTGTCAGAGCGTGTGAAATAAGGCCATTTTAGCAACCTTAAAGCTACTTAAGGGGAAACAAAATGACAAAGCTCTATGTTAAAGGATTAAATAAACTCCACTTTAAGTGCAAGTGGAAGGTGGTGTTAATCACTGCAGCTTCATAAGAAGTCTCATCCTGATCTGGAATGAGAAACGCTGTACTATCATAGCATCTCTAATTGCCCCTCATCCACCACTAAAGCACTTTATGTTGCTGAGGCGAAGGAGTTGCCGTACATACTTGCCAGTACTTAGCTTGGAAAGCATTATATCTGGGCTGCTAGTCATTATCAAGATGGATTGTGGTGACAAATGGCTGCCCAAACTGCCTAAAGCAGCCTCCTGGCAATGTTGGCATTAGACACATTTGCACAGAAAAGCCCCCGAAAGGAGCCCCCACCAACTCCCCAACTGTTAATGAGCCAACAGCCGAGCGTAGTTTGGGAAAATACAATCCGCAAATGCAGATAATGACATGGTTCCTCTTTGTGTAATTGGCTCCAAGTGAAAACATTTCATTTACCTCTTTCCCTCTTTCTCTCGCTCTCTATATCCTGTGTGTGTGTGTGTGTGTATGTGTGTGTGTGTGTGCTCGCATGTGTGTGGTCACGTATGGGTGTGTGCATACGTGCGTGCGGCTGCCCGTGTGTGATTGAGGTTTGAGCTGCACGGTGAATTAAATGCAGTTCTACTGTAATTAACTGCACTTACCAGTCTGTGTATGAGACTTTCTGACGCACCAATAATTGAGGCATCAGGTTTTGTTTGTTTTAACCTGCCTTTGAAGACATGCTGGGAAGATGTTTCACAGGGTTTTGTGGAAGCACATCTGTGTGAACAAATTTCAAAGCCGTGACAGGACTTCTCGCTTCTATTTTCAATTATTTAACAACTGAATATCTGAAATATTAAATATTTAGCAGTTAGGCTTTCCTTTGACAATTTTGTTTTTCATTTCAAATTTGAAATTTGAAAAAAAAAAAAAAAAAAAAAAAAAAAAGACCCATTGTTGTGCAGACAGAAAACATTACCATGGTATTATAATGCCATTCTGAAAAACAAAACATAACAAATTCCCACTGATGATAATAGCTGTTTTCAGGAAGGCTTGTGTCTAGCTCAGCAGTCTCTCTGGTATTCGTAATTTCATTAGAGGTCTGAATTTTGGAACCAAGGTCTGCCACAGTTCAGCGAAGCATATCCCCCAAGTATTTGTGGTTCTGGTAAAACATAAAGCTGTGTTTGTGGACAATATTAGTGTTTAGCAGACAGAAAGGTCCGGTTCAGTTCTGTCTCAGCATTAACACACAAAACCACAGTCTCCTTCCGTCTGCGGGGCTGTGTGATGATTGGTGCTGTGCGTCAGGGAGACACACACAGATAGAGTGACAGAGAGAGACAGATGAGGAGAGAGAGAGAAATAAAGAGGCAAACAGCTTGTGGAGAGATATACAGTTAATGGAAGGAGGGCATATACTCCACATGAAGCCCAAGTGAGGCTGGTTTTGTTTCCCAGTAGGTCATCTGTCCCAAACCTCACCATCCTCTCCCCCTTTCCTTCTATCTTCTATAACCTCGACCACTAACCACCCACCCATCCACCTCAGCGCTCCCCCCAAAGCCCCTGAATCCCTACCCTAAAACCGCAATTTGTCTTGCTGCAGAGATTGATGAAGATAGCTTGGCAGGGTCGGCACTATCATACTTAGGCCGGGTTTGGGAGTGGAGAGGTAGCGCGGCGGCTGACTGTATAGGCCATCCGTCATGCCCTATGTACACAGTCGGTCAGGTCATCCCTCCAGAGTCCCTGGGGCTTTTGCAGACTGTAGCTCTCCAAAGTTACAGGGCGCCTCTTGAAACGATGGATGGAGGGGAACAGAGAACAAGAGGCTGCCTGCACACAGAAGCATGGGGGGGGGGGGTTATGTATTTAAATACATAGTCAGCAGGAATAAGACTAAAGACAAATGAGACTTTGTTGCACATGGAAGGTAGATCACTGGAAGATGGAATGGGGTCATGACTCCCTGATGCAGTAGGTGGTGGAAGAGCCCAGCGGGAGTCTTTGGTTTAGTTATTCTAACCGTATGATGGGTGTGGGGGTGTGTGTACTGGCTCGTGTGTGTACGCAAAAATGTGTACATACATGTCTGAGGTGCAGATATCTGAGAAGATGCTCTTGTGGTCCTCTTATTGAATTTCAAATTCAGAATGCATTTGTCTTCTGGAAATCCTCATGGAAAACACCAAATATCAACAATAGACTTGACTATTGTTCTGATTTCTTGGCAGACGGTAGACAAAATCCAAAATGCACCCTTCCTGCACAGGTTTGATTTCTTAATGAAGAAAACAAAAAAAAAGTAGATTGAAGGGATCAGATTTCCATAAGAAAGCATTAAAAAGGAAAGTAGATCTTCTGTGTCAATGTAACTCCAACATTTCTCTTGATATCCTTTAGAAAAAGTCTAGTTAGAATTCATACTACATCTCAGCTTGATGGACAAACAGCTGCTGTCTAGCTTAGGGGCAAGTGCTGCCGGGACAGTGATATGTAGACTTGAGGGCTCATGCAGCTCGGACAGAGCTGCCATGACCCCAAGGTCAAGGGCAGAAAAAAGGAGGCAAAAAACAAAGTGGATTATGATAAAGTAATTTGTTCCATGTCAGAGTGAGTTGCAGGTCCAGGAAGAGAAGAAAGGGAACATACAAATTTGCACAGCAAAGAAGAGTCTGTGAATAGGAGCAGCCAATAGCCTTGAGGCCGTTTGGTTCTCTGTCAGGATTTCTGACTTGATGTCATGCAACGCTTGTCAAGAGCAACATCTGCTGAAAAGATGCTTGAGTGATGGTCAAAAATGTGCTGGCACAAATACTGACAGCATGCACACGGGTGGATACTCCATCCTAAATGGAGGAGAAATCATCTCTCTGGATCTTTTTGGTGCTAGCATGATACAGAAGACATGTCGATTATGGACACCACAGGTCATTCTCAGTTCAATTTGCTCCATAGTATATCACCAAAGAGTAGAAGAGTGGACTCCCAAAGGGTGCTGTAGAGTTCCCCAACTCTTCCCCTAATAACATGCAGATGGGCCTCTCTAATGCCTGTTTACATATCTGCGGCATAGTTCATGACTAAAGTAAGCAAAGCCCTAATTATTTTACCCGGCGACGGGACCAATAAAATCAACTTCCCCTTCTCGTTATGGGTGTTTAAGTGTATCCTTTGATGGCAGAGCTTTGTTTATTTTTGGAAGAGTTGCGTAGCTGAGAGGAAAGCAAATAGAAGTAATGACACAGAGATGCTGACAAATGGGGGCCCTGGTGATGGATTCATTTCCTCAATGATGCCTAGAAGGCTAGACTGCAAAGGTGGTTCAACATGAATGCACATTTACACAATTGCAAACATGATTGGCAATATTCATATCATATTAGCCATTGTATGACTGTTGTGTATCATCACATACCGCTTGAATTATTGTTACACCAGCCTCGGTGTTCTGTTCATGCGACAGCAGATGTTTTCCTCTGTTTGGGAACGTAATGCTTAGTAATGTGTCTCTTTCTTTTTCTAGAATGCTGTGGAGAATAACTATCCCAGTCATACTGGCTGGGGTGCTCTGCATCACTGCAGAGACCAAAAAGCCTCGGCCCCAGGGATCCATCCCATCCCCATACAAGACCAAAGGGAACCTGTCATCAGAGCGTCACCATCGGCTATTGCAGCAAAAACCAGAGGTGCTTTCCTCCAGCCGAGAGGCCTTGGTGGTGACGGAGCGCCGCTACCTTCGCAGGGACTGGTGCAAGACCCAACCCCTCCGTCAGACCATCAGCGAGGAGGGCTGCCGCAGCCGCACTGTGGTCAACCGTTTTTGCTATGGCCAGTGCAACTCCTTCTATATCCCCCGCCATATGGGCCCCAGCTCGGGTCAGGGCCAGAATCGAGGCCAAGCCTCAGGATCTGGAAGGAAAAACCACAACAAGGCCCAGGAGCCGTTCCAGTCCTGCTCCTTCTGCAGGCCACACCGCATCACACAGCTCACAGTGCAGCTAGACTGCCCAGACCTGCAGCCCCCTTTCAGACACCGTAAGGTGCAGAGGGTCAAACAGTGTCGCTGCATGTCTGTGGATGTGAGCAGCCATGGGAAACTGTGAAGGAGGACTTTTAAAATTGAAATGACATCTGAGAATTGTCAAAGGCAGATATTTGCAAACTTCGCCAAACAAAGACTGGCTTCAAGTTGAACTACGCTGCATCATGTTTTACAAATAATGGCTTGTCCCACAATAAAATGACATGAAACATGGAACTGGCATTAATTAAACTAAGGCCCAACATTGATTTAATCAGAGACTATGAGCCATATTGGCGAGCTGATGCTGTTTTAAGAGACTGATTCAAGTGGCCATGCAAGAGACACTGATGATGAAGCAGCCAATTTTCCTTCCTGTTATTTCACAAAGTTCATATCTACCTGCTTTTTGTACATTTGTTTCTAGATTCCTTTGTGATAAAGGAGATGAGAAAGTGCCTGAGTTTTAAACTCACAAAACACTATGGACTCCAGGAGAGACCATGCTGACAATGCATTGCCTTTTAGAAGCTAAACTGTTCCCTGTGACCCCATTAAAAAGTTTTTTGTAATACATGTTTTTCTGCAGGTGAATCTACAGTAATTACAGTCTGCCAGCATTGTTTTTAAAACTGACTGTTTAGAAGTATTGTATCTGTTATCCTGTATCTTTTCCTTAACTTATATGATGTCCCAAATGATACACAAGTTGATGTCAAGGACATGATTTCAAGAAACATGAAGCGACACAGCAATGACCAGTGGCATCCACCTGCTTGGACATAAGCCTGGCTGTATACTGTACATTTGCCACAAATATACTAGCCAGTAGAAAAACATACTGCAGCATGTGTAATGAGGGTGCAATGCAATATATACAGTATATATATATTTTATGTATTTGTGTAAGTATGTATGTGAAAAATATATTAAATCTATTTCATACAAAATCACAGTGGTGTTTAGAGTATACGGCAGTTCTGTACCACATGATAACAGAGGTGGACAAGTGATACACAGAAAACAATTAGCAAAAACAGAATTTCTATTAAAAATTAATGTAATTTCTTTTATTCAATAAATATATTTTTTCATGGTCAAGGGTATTCAATCAAAACATATTGTTGGTATTGCACATGAACATCACATCACATAATCCTATTGCTCAATTAGCATATGGGATTTCACACACTCACATATAGTGGGAAAGGCAAAACTAACTGCATAGGATTTTGCTTCAAACAGAGCAAGTCGACAATAAAACAATATTAGGTCTGTATTACAGCACATCATTTAAAGATGCATGGTCTTTTTGACTGAAAAAAACCCAAACATATTAAACCACCATAGAGGAAGTGCTCCATGTAAAACAAATGTAAAATTATCACAAGGTTCTGAAACACACTTGATGAAACTATTAAGAAAAGTAAATCTGTCATGTTCTGGCCTGTGTAAAACTGATTTTTCTTCTTTATATGTAACAATTAATTACAAATGATATGTCTTAAAAAATAAGCTCTGTACTACAGCACTCCTCTGACCACTCCACTGTGCGATAAGGCACTTTCTGTCTGGCAGGCAATCCCTACCTACCGCATACAAAGGTTATAAAATTCTAGGCTTTTCACAATTAAGGGAGATATAAAGAGGAAGTGTTCATGCCTTCCTAGTAAAGAAGGCCTGGGAATTGCACTAAAAAAGAAAATAGGCTACATATGGCTTATAAAATACAGAGAAAGCTTGGATATAGTGTTGCTACAAATTTCATTTTCTGGTAAATGACTCAACAACATTTAATCATCTCAGCTTAAGGACGTCTTTTAGTAGCAATATTTCATTTAATTATGCGAGTGCTATCAAAAGCTGGCTGAGAATGTAACATTACCATAATATCCACTTTGAACCAACTCATAATAAAAACAGTTCTAAATCAATTGAAAACAAATACTGGAAATAAGTAAATGTTTTAAAAATGACTGATGAGTCGTGTCAGATTGTACAAACAGTGCTTGTGCAACAGGCTTGATGATGATCATTTTCCATTCTCTGCTTCAGATCTTCTGACCCAGCTTTGCTTTCTGTGGAATAAAATAACAGGTCTGAGTTATTTACAGCTGGCAGTGCTGGCACTTATCTCAATATGTTGCTGCTGGAGCCAGGAGTGTTGTTTCTCCTACACCCTGACAAGTGTTTGTACGGAACAGAGTCTATTGGGTGAGCAGATAATGTGCACAAAGGGAAGAAAAAAAGAAGATGGCAGGTAGCGCTGGAAATGAATTAACAAATAAAAGCACAGATGAGACCATAGAGTCAACTGTGATAAAAAGTGCAAAGACGTACTATTCCAGTTGCATGTTTGGGTTTCACACTGTAGGAAGCCTTCTCCCTGGCCTGTTTGAAGCAGTCCTCAGCCATTTTGACCCTGAAAAAAAAAAGATTAGTCATAACTATCAGTCATCCTGTGGAGACCGAGGAGCAAATAATTGGATGTACACACACTCACTCACTGCTGAAATTCACTCTTTTACCCTTAAAAATGAAAGACAGCACAAAAATCCCAGCCTGGACCATCCAGACTATGGTCATGTGGTATTTGGACACAGCGATCTCGGTTTGTCAAAGGGCCAATCCTCCGACTTTGAAGTGACTCACTCTAGTTTACTACTGCATGGAGCGAGCCAACAGTGTCGGTACTCATTTGTGCTTTAAAAAGACAAATCATCAGCATGCTGGCAATGAGTGAAAACAGCAATTTACACTGACTGACATGCATTTTGTAGACATCCATTACATGGGTATTGTGTGTGCCAGCATGTCCAGCGCAGGTGAGGATTAATATCTATAGTTCCACTAGAGTCTCAAAGGAAAACCAGCAGACAGGGGTTGGGATGGCTGCCTATGGCAAAGGGCAAAGAGTTAATGCTTTCAAATTTGTTTTTATTCTTTCCTACTGTACAAGCAAAGGCTGTTACATTTTGCTTTTCTTACAAATACATATCACAGTTCAATCTTCATTTGGCATAATGGACCAATTTGCTTTTTTGTTGACATATGCAACAGTATCTTTATATTCATCAAACCACTGGAAGCTAACTGGATGCTGCATGTGTTTTTTTCATTACTGGGGTGAAGACATAGATTTGGGTCATTTAACCTCTTTTCCCTTCATGAATTTAAATGAATCTGATAGGATCTTCAGTGAACACGAGATGTACTGCAGGTTATTAATGGTTTGGGAACTTGCGCTTGGGGAAAATTATAGAAGTAGGAACATTGGTGTTTCTGTAATGACATTTGTAAAGGTCAGAGAGTGGTGTACTCTTCCAAAAGACAAAGACAAAAAGAATGAAGAGACCCTGATAACTAAAAGCATTTGATTTTGGGACAATAGGCCCAAGGTCCTGTCAGAAGAAGGTATCTGCATCAGTACAATGTCACATTCTGAAACAGGAAACTTGTCTCCGCATCACATTCTCACCGTTCCTGTAACATCAGTTTATTCTGCTTCTTCCAGTGGTCTTTGAAATCAGTGGAAAACTCATGCCAAATGGAGAAGAAAGTGTTGGGAGAGACCTCTTTCTCTCCTGCCTTGGGTTTAACTGAGAAGGACACGCTCAACTCCAAGAAGCTGAGGACAGAGAACAAAAACATTACTTCAAGGCCAAACTATTACACCATGAGATTACAGAAACCTACACCAATTGTTTTGAAACCTGGCAGTGCTATGCAAATATGCGAAATATGAAAGTTAATCTTGGAATAATATGCTTTTTTAGAGATTTAGTGGTAGAGTAGCATAAAAAACACAAACCAATGATGACTCTGCAGTTCAGAGGACAACCGTCCACAAAAAATGCAATTACTGACACAAAAACAGCACAGTCACTCTGACAGATTAACTCTAAACCCTTAAGTAGAACTCTTATCCATCTCATAGAGAGTGTTTAGCTTCGTCACTCCTGTCCCTGGTGTGCACAGACCTCTATGTATATTTGTGTATAGAAACAAGCACATACTGCATATGAGTGTAAGCATGAGTGAGGTGATGCGAAAGAAAAAAAGGTGCACAGCTACGGGACAAAGACAGATCCACCAAAAAAAAAAAAAGCGTGCACATGGCAGGGGATGACACGTGTAAAAGTGTTAAATGTGGCGGCCATTTGCAGTGGATCAATACAGTGGACAGGTTGGGGTCTCTTTGTTTGGAGTGTGCTATAGGAACACATTCCAAGCCAGCAGTAACAGAAGCCTGGAGCCAAGGCTGTCTACTCTCGCTCCGCTTAGATAAACAACACAGACACCGCACAGGGGGCCTCCCGTCTACTGAAGGCCTGGCATGACGGCCTGCACCTTCCATGTAACCGAAGGAACCAGGAGTCCTAAATATTGACAAAGCAGCTTAGATTATATTTCTTTACTGCAGTGAGAATCTATCACTTCAAAACTTCAGGCCTGATCACTGCTGTGACACTTGAGGAAAGAGCAAATGTCACCCATGAAATGGGACAGAAGTAGCTGCATTTATATTGCAGGTGAAGACGCTTCAGGAAAATGTTTAAGGGAAATGCTGATAAAGAATGAGAAAGTTCTTACATCTTCTGGGTCTCTTCCAGCTGCTTCTCCTGCGTTTCCAGTTCTGTTTTAGCTAAAGGAAAGTAAATGAAGGGACAAAAAGCAGTGTGTATTGGTAAATAAATGATTAAAACATTCCCTCCAGAAAACACATCTTTCACCCGCAGTGTGACTTGTATATACGGGAGGATTCCACATGTCACCATTACTTAAACCAACAGTCATCTTCAAGGTCAGTGCTGTGCCACCAGGTTATTAAGTGTTGGATTGTCCACTGTTGCACAACTGACAAATGAGTAGTGCAGACTTCAGGACAAGTGCTTCTTTGTGCAGGGTTACTTCGAATGGAGACAGATGACTGTGTGTGTGTGTGTGTGTGTGTGTGTGTGTGTGTGTGTGTGTGTGTGGGTGTGTGTGTGTGTGTGTGTGTATGCATGTTTGTGTGCCAGAGGCGTGAGAGTAAAAGAGAGACAGCGAGAGGGTAAGAAAACGGGGAGTTGGACACCATGGTACACATTAGGAGATATTTCCAGCAGGCCGCAACACTTATCTCAGTGGGCCATCAGGATCATTTTGACTGCGTTATAAATTATGATATAAGAGAAGGGCAGTGAAACGTGACAGCCTCAGTCAGGAGAATGCCGCAGGTTACCACTTATCAAATTTCACATCTAGGAGCAGATTTTTCAGCCCATTTTCAAATATATATATATATATTTATATAAAAAAAGCTTTGGTAGAGTCAATCCAGCTCTGTTTTTTTGCAGGTCTTTATCTTCACTGTGCTGCTGGACAACTGACAAAAGGTTAGACAATAAATTCTCCCCCACAGCTTCTCTGTCCCCTGAAGGTCAATAATCTGTAGCTGCTTTTGCCTTAAACTGTCAAATGACCAGAGAAGAACTACGGCCTCCTCATGGCTTTCCAAGGCAGATATGGCAGTAGCTGGGACAGGGAATCTTTCCTGGCACAAATCTTGGGAATATCTGGTTGCTATGTGTAGTTACGACCAGCGCCACATCTGAAGATCCCAGACAAACCCGCTGAGACCAGCACTGTGCTTTACCATTCCACAGTGCTAAATCACTCAGGAGCCCACAGTCGTGTCTCCCTCTCTGCTGACAGCTCATAAATAAATGATGACATATTGATAAATAATATGAATGGGGCTTGCTAAAAGCATCTTACTATCAGGATTGTGTTCCATCCTTCGAGCGAAGATAATTTAAGATCCTACTTACCACTTTCTATAACCCTGAACAGGAAGATCCCGTCGTGATGTAAAAGCTATTTCTAGAAACACTGAATATCAATCAAGGGAGATAAACCCTGACACTCTTAGATAAACCTTCCCCTGACACTGAATGAGTCAGTGTGAATTCAACATGATTAATTGTTTTCTTATCTACTTATCTTATTGTGATTATATAAAGACAATGTGGTATTGGGGGGGTTGAGATGAATAAACTGATAAAAACTGTATTTACAACAAAATAAACAGTGAAATATTTCAGGATTATTTAAGGATTGTTATTGCACCAACATCATCATGTGGTTCAACATGATAAAGATCAACATGTCTATTTAATATGTGATTTTGCCAAATTGTGGCGCACATAAACATGAAAACGGTTAAAAGTCTGATGTTTAACCACATCGGCGTAGATGACGTGACGTCCTAGGCGGCAGAGTAGTAGTTGGTAGAAAAGGGAGGTGAGTTTGACAGCAGTCCTCCTAATCTTTATGTCCATCAGAAACAGATTATCACATGGCCAGTGCTCTCTTGCAAGTCACAGTGACTCCATCAAAGGCCTGCATGCATGAGAATTTGTGAAGCGAGCGGGGAAAATCGAGCTAGACCAAACAGCCGAGCTCCAACAAGTCCGCTCCCACTGTTATTCTGTGGTTAGTTTCATGGTCAGAAAATAAACAAAAGCGGTTTAAACTGTGGAGCCAGAAACAGTTTAACCCCAGGCTTTTTAGAAATTACAGAAATAACAAAAATAAGACATTTGGCTGTTGTTCTTTTTTCACCGCCGCAGTGGAGGAACCCCAAGAATCCCGTCTGGAGCCTTCTGAGTCACATGTCCATGTTACGGTGCTTACATTCTGCTCTCAGAGGGAAAAACCTCGTCATTTGCATCAAAGAGAGAGCTCCCATATTTCTCTCAAACACAGAGAGAAAGGAAAAGAGAGGGGGAGAGGTGGAAATGGGAGACATGCTTTCATCTGCAGACTTCCTTTAAAATGGACAGTGAGCATTACCGCGGAAGAACATATGCTATATATTATACTCTCATTTGAATACAAAAGCAGTTGGTGAGAGGCCTGTGAGCTGGGTCCTTCAGAAAGATTGGACACAGTCAAGTGAATGTAGCCAGGGTCAAAGCCAATGTGACAGAAAGAACGGCATTTGGCTTGTTATATAAAAACAAGCATAACAAACTTAGTCTTACACCTTTGAAGTGGACCACAATATCCCAATATTGTTGTAGATGTCAGATTATGGAGATAAAAGCATGACTGTTTAACATCTGGTGGACATGACAGATAAACACAACTACATTTTCAGTGGATTTTACCGTAACAATATCTAGAACAAAAATGTAGTACAAGCTGTTAGCCTCCTTTAGAATAGAAGATGTGTTTTCTGTCTTTGCTCTAATGTTGTGTACAGCAGACCATTAACCATGCTAGCAATGGTTGGTTGCAAAAGGATGGCAATGACGGTCTCTTGGTCCACCACTTTGCTCTAGAGTGAAATATCTCAGCAACTATTGGATGGATTACCCTGAAATTTGTGCCCAGAGGACGAATCCTAATGAATTTGGTGCACCCCTGATTTTTTCATCGAACGTCTTCAGCAGGTCAAAGTTTTCGTTTATCCAGTGAAACCTCTCAACATCTTCTTGATGACTGGCACAAACCTTTTCATCTAGCACCACCATGAGGTTGACATTTGTGTTTTTAAGTGAAATGTCTTAACATGTATTGGATGGATTGCCATAAAATTTTATGGAAATATTCCCCTCAGGATAAATTGTAATAACTTTGAAGATCCTTTTTGCTGACTTTTCATCTAGTGCCATTGTCCAGTTTATGACCAAACACCTGCAAAACTAATGACATTTCCATCATCCTCAGCTGTACTTTGTGTTTAGTGCTACTGCTAAACTACACACTAAACTAAGATGGTGAACATGGTGAACATTACACCTGCTAAACATCAACATGCATGTCATTGTGAGCATGTTAGCGTGCTGAAATACACATTCAGCTCAAAGCATTGGTATGCCTACAGCCTCACAGGGCTGCTAGCGTGGCTGTATACTGTATATTGGTCTTGTTGGAATAAAAGTGCAGTGGAAGCCAGGTTGCTCCTCATTAACAATAAATTCATCATCATCATTTTAATAGCCCTTTTAGTAAACATCATACTGTGAAGGGTTTGATTCGATTTGATTTCCTAATAGGAGTGCATTAGGCCAAGCATGCAACAGAGTGCTTCTTATCTCTCTGTCATTCCTCTGGCAGAAGAAAAAGAACAAACCTCGTTATTAGACGGGCAAAGGAGACTAATGTTGTAAAAACACGGCAGCCGAGGAAAAAATTTAAACAGCAGAAATACAGGCAAATATATGACAAACAAATGTCAAAAGTACAAAGTGAAAGGGGTCAGGTGCTGAACAAGTCAGTTTTGTTCCAGCCTCTCTGGCATCCAGTTCTCTTCCCTGCAGTCAATTTGCTAGGCTTCATGACAAGTTCACGTTCGGCCATCCTGGATCTTCCTTTGAGGGAGAGCAAGATGTACTCTTTTATAAGGTAGAGATCGAGATAAACGAGCCAGCTACCAAGTGCAGTCATAATCCGTCAGAGCAGATAGGTAAACTTGAAACAATGGCCGTGAGTTATTCAATACACACTGGAATAAACACACGTCCCTATGGAAACAACACTGACTGAACCCTTGTGTGCGTATATCACCCAGAAAACAGCATGAAACAGATTTGGAAATGTGTCTGCAGACATAGAAGACCTACATCATTCTGATTGATGAGCTGCTTCACATGCTCTCACACCACAGAGGAATTTTCAGCTTAGGTATACCAAGGGTTTACAGGCACAGGGTACTTTTTCAATCAGAAGGGATAAATTATTTGCCTTTTTTAACCTCTTGCATGATGGCAACACAGATGAGCAAACCATATGTTCACACAGACTGACCATCACCTGTTTCATCATATTTAAAAGGATAAAGCCGTTGATACTCTTAATTTTTTTGTTATTATAAAATCTGATGAAAAGACCAAGACTAATAATGCATTAGTCTGATTATCAATACTTTCCTATTCTATTGAACATATAAATCTTGCAAACATATACTTTCAATAGACAAGAGGTTATAATACGGCCTGTGCCAGGGCTAGCTGGTGAGTGTGCTAACTTCAGTTGAAGAAAAGATGTGATAGGGACACGAGTTAACATTGTGGCAAAGCAACACTGTGGTTCGCTGATGTGTTTTCATTAGTTCTGGAGCTCATGGCTGAGAGCAATAAGATATATCAAGCTTTGGCTAAGCCAAATTCATTGTTGCATGGGATTTCCATGGGATTTGTTGACAAGATGAAACGAATATCACTCATTGATCAGACTGTTGAAAGTCTTATTAATCATCTGTTCCAGCTGATTTGCAAAATAGACTCACCTTGGCTAAGAAATGTGTACATCTTGTCCTTAAAGGGTTGCAGGTTCTCTTCAGAGGACAATTTGCAAACTTTCCCCATCTCAGCGGAGCATGCTGAAATAACAAGAGATGATCATGATGAGAAATGATCAGAGCGATAGAGCAATATTGTGTTGTAATTACAAACTCTACAGTACACTTCACCCTGGTTGAGCTCGCTGTGATAAATCTCTGCTGAATTTCTGCTGAATATGTGTCGGCAAAGACATAATGACCCATAATGACTAACAAGGCACCCGCAGGAACCAGGAAGGCCTGTGCTCTGATCCCGAGAGAAACTTATCGTCACGCTCTATATGCAAACATAACGGATACACAAACTCAGCTCAAGGCCTTAGAGGTGGAGAGGCCGAGAGACGCTTAAGGGAACGGGAAGGTCGGGACTAGGCAAATGGTAATTCATAGACCATATGGTGCCTCAACCTAAAAGTTACACAGTGAGCTCTCTCCACTGAGCTGCTTGCTGATGTCCTTCAGGCCAGCCAAGGCCATTTCTGCGCCGCCTACTTATCAGAACCTCCCTCTGGGAACTGTCATCGAAGCCCATGTCTGTTAGAGCGCTCAGCTGGCTCTGCTAGGTAATGAAGAGGTCTGCAGGTACAGCATGTGATGATGTATTTATGCACGGACAGCATGTGCCACCGCCACTGGGGTCGAAGCAGACGCAAGTCTATTTCCCCAGTGAGCAACTCCATCTTTATGAATTGCAAATAATGAACAGCCTAAAGAATCATTATGGCAGAGGAAAAACAATATTTGGCAACACGGATCAGGCACCTGATTGGTTTAGCAGCAAAGATACATAAAACATGATAAAGAACAGACCGGGTTTGGGGAATTGTCGATCGAGCTGCAAGCGCACATACATACTTACACAAGTGCACATATATGTTTGCACAAAAATACACAGTCATTTTTTACCACCTGTTGGCACTTCAATCCTTGGAAAGTGTTCTGAGTGCCGAGTGACTTGAGACGGAGTAATGAAAGAGAGTATTTCCCAATTGCCTCATTCATTAGGACTCTTTTTCATCCAACCAACCTGTTTGGCTTGTCAAGCATAATTCACTTTCCACACTTTCATCCTGAGGTCTTGATATGCAGTAACACAGCACATTCATTCTTGTGCCTCATTTATATTTTAACAAATTTTAGATAATTCATATGTTATATGTGAAATACCAAATGCAACATATTAAGTCCCTACATGCGACAATACTGTCACCATGTGATTCATTTTATAGTGTTTTGACTTCAGTGCGAGATTACATAAATGTAATCATAGCTAAATGGAAATTCTGTCTCCAAACTCTTTGGCTTGTGAAACCCACTAAAAATCTTTTTTTTTTTTCCCCCCAAAGTTGATGGTTAGTGGCGATGATAAAAAGTTTTAGTGAATAATAACAATAATTTATTCATGACATAAACACTGGTTAGTAGGAAGGCCATCATGGAAAGTTATGTAATTCATGCACCACATGTATTGGGAACTGATTAAACAACTGATTGATGAATGAATGAAGGAAAAAATGTATGAATTAAAGAGTCAAAGAGTCAGCCATTAACTACATCAGTTCATCCATGACTCATACTTAGGACACCTACGGCAAAGTGATGACGCACAACATGCAAAAGAGAGATGCAGGGATATTCTGAAATTCTCATTGTTGTGTGTTGTACATTTGTAGCTTGCAGGGTCAGTGAGGTGATTCAGAGCTCGAGGAGAGCCTCTTCCAGTTCAGTGAATAGCTGATGAACCTTTAACAGTGTACGCAGGTAGTGGAAGTTCCCTGACCTTGCCCCGATATATTTTGATCTCTATTTCATGAGGACAGTAAAGGCACGCCAGGTCCAACAGGAGTCTACATCTGACAAGTCACATCTGCTTCTGGTTAGCTCGTCTGTACGACAAACAGATGCTATCTCTCTGTTGACCCGCCTCTACGATCCACACATGACCATAGCTGGTCAGGTTTGGGAAATTATTTTCCATTGTACTAGGAGATATGTGCATGGATTAATACATAATTTATTACTCCATAAACTGCCATGTGATGGTATTTTAAACACGATATGACACTGCCATAATTTGCTGGTTATGGCGTGGCCAATTTACTACCTAATATGCTTGTTGTAAATATGCTGTTTAAAGGTTTTGGATGTGCTCAAACAGAAGGAAAGCTGTGGAATGTAAGTTGACGACCATACCATTGAGGTCTTTCCTCAGTTTGCGCAAATCTCTTTGAAAGTCCTCAAACTTCATCTGGGAGGCCTGGAAAAGGTCCTGGGGCTCGGGCAGAGGGTAGACACACGTTTCTCTGCCAGCATCCTGGTAAAGCACAACATACATTCATGCACAAAAAAAAACAAAAAAAACACACACCAACGTCAAAGACAATCTTACTCAAATGGGAGAGGGCCTCTCTAGTATATACTGTACACACCAGGCCAGATTGAAATAAATGTCTCCAGAGACCTACATGCACTTATTAGCAGTCCAAACATCCCAGAGAAGATATGGCTGAAACTACAGCAGATAACGACCATTAAGCTTGGTGCAGAAAGTACACTGCAATTCTCTCCATCAGAGTTACTACAAGGCCATTATGAGTGCTAGAGTCATGTCATGCAGGTTGATTTTGGCAGGCAGCACTCTACTGAGTTCATCTCATCTGGAGAACCTAATTATTTACACTAGTGCTCCTTTGGATGCTGTGCCAATGAACAGGCTGCAGGTTTGAATGAAGCCAGACCAAAGCAGAGCAAGAGAAGGAGATGAAGAGTGAAAGACAGAAAGAGAATTATAAGAGAGAGCCAGAGAAGGAGAGAGATTTGTTTCTGCCGTAAACGAGGAAAGGGAAAATAAATAATTTGATAAAGGATAAGCCATGGTATCCTCTGGCAAGAGAGGAGATGAAAAGAGAGCTCTGGAAGGATTTCTAAGCAAATCAGACTAAAACAGAAAAGTGATTCAAATAAACAGGAACCAAAACATACCTCATCAAAGTGCCTTAGATAGTAAGCAACAATGTAGGACAAAAGACTCTTGGAGTTATCCTGAAAGAAAGAAAAAGATCCAAATAAATAAACCAAAACCCCTTTATTTATTAATTTAATCATTTTGGAGCAGGACGTTTTAATTTGTGTGGGGCAAACAAGAATAAGGACAGCGGTCTTAGAAGTTGGGGATAAATCATGACATTGGTGGAGCAATACAACAAAACACAACTGTGCTGGGCTGGCTGTCATAACTCAGAGTTGGTGGAAAGTTTGATGTTCTTTATGGATACCTTACTCGGTTCACCACCACAAAAACACAAACCGCTCTGTCCTTATATGGCTGTGCCAAGGGTACACTGAGCCCGTTGCGATATTGAATAAGAACAGTAAACAGAATGGCCTCTCCACTAAATCTGAACAGCTATGGTCCTCATGTTTGGCAGCAATGACGGTCCCTTTTAACTCCTGGACTCACCACCTATTTTGTAGTGTAATGCTTTACTGCAGAATAAAGCTGTGTGGGTGCACATAAATTACATGAGTTTATCTCTTTATTTTACTCATTTTATACATATATACACTTCCCGTTTGTTTGAGAATAACACTTCATTTAGAGTCTGTTCCTGTAGTGTGAGTGATGTTTGCTTTTACTCCTGGAACACGCAGACTCACACTGCTCTTAACGTCCTTCAGTTTTGGCAGGATGTCCAAGGAGAAGCCGTCGGCCTGCCCTCGAGACCGATTGCCTCCGTTCATGAAGTTGCCGAAAGCCAGCACCAGGCCAAGCACCTGCAATACACACTGACCACTCTGGAGAGACTGGTGCACACACAAATACATGCACAAACAGATGAGATGAAGACATGAAGGTTAAACTGAGTGACAGTAAAGAAAATTAAATGAGAGAGGCCAGTGGCTCACCTTGCATACTCTCTGAAGGATTTCTACTTTGCGGAGGACTGAGGTGATACATTCATGGAAAGTAGACTGAAACAGGATGCAGAACACCCGTTCAGAGAAGTTGGGGATTTGGGATAGCTGGAATAGAAACCTGATGGAGGGACAGGATCAGTCACTATAACACATCTGTTTAATGACTTGTAATGAATTTGGTTCAGAAGGTACACTTGGCTCTTACTGTTCAGGCTTGTCCAGTGGCTTGGCATCCTCCTTGTCTTTGGATGATTTAATATGCTTCTTAATGCTATCCATCTCATCATCTTGAGCTCTCTGTCAGATGAAAATGCAAATTAATTCTAGCAGGAAATAGGTAGGTAATAGTTAGGTGAAACCCACGTACTTAATAAAAATGCATGCAATGCCATGTTATTCATTTATTTATTTTACTTAAATCAAGGTTTTGTAATTTTAAGACCAAAATTGATCCAAGCATTGGTATTATAGAAAGTTTGTAAATTTATACGATGTATACTGGGTGCTATTAAATAAATACTTAGATAGTCTAGATAAAACTTAGTTTTTGCTAGTGAAGATCATGTGATATGATCGACAGCTCCAGAACACTTACTAAATGGACCTTGAGGTAATGTTGTTTTGTCAATTGCGGTTTTCAAGGTCAAGAATGAAGCTTGAACTTTTTCTTTCAAGCCAACATGGACGAGAAGTCTAGAGTCTAGAACATCTACGATTCCACGACAACTGGCAAACTCCATCTGCTGATGAAGATCATGCGATGTGATCAAAAGCTCCAGAGCCCCTAATGAGGTGGGTTTGTTTTTCTTTTATTTCTTTGTTGACAAACGTTAGCTCAAGTGTAAAAGAATTCTCAAATTGTGCCGTTTTGTACATAAACTGGTACCGTATGCCAGCCTATACAATATAAGTTTCATAAATGCTAAAGAGCTGCTTTCAGTCAGACTACATTCCTGACTATTACCCTGCTGTCAGGCTCTGGACCACAGTTTTATACAAGGTGGTTTAAAAAAGAAGGCCAGAAATGCCCCTTCATTTCACAAGAGGCAAAAACAATAGATGTTAATGTGTCTCACGCAGACGGGCAAAACAATAAAACCATCCCCAGGAAGAGAATGTAAACTCTCTCCCAGTCCCTCCAGAGCCCATAGACCCCCTAAGTCTGAGTCTCAGCAGTCTGGTCTCTCCCTCTGTTTCTCTCCATCTTTCTCTCTGGGGTTTAGCCTCAGCATGGATCCTTGGAAAACATCAAACACCAGCATCAAACGGACTGAGGGCCCGATTAGTATTCTACACACCGCCGCCTTCTGTCGACGAGGGCAAGCTCTCCTTCGCCTTCTCTCGAGATGTTTTCAAGTGTAAATATATTTAACACAAAGCAGATCCTTTTCAAAGGGCAGCAGCGGAGCCCAGCAGTGTTTGGTGTAATTGGGGACAAGTAGGCATTAGCGTGTGATCTTTGAATTGCTAGGGCATGTTGCAGCGGTTGTTAGCATGAGAAATACAGTCCCATGTGGAATATCAAATGCAAAGGAAAGTAGGATGATATTTGTGATGCCAGAACTCCAGAAGTAGCCAAGTGGTATTCATTAGCCAGGTTTCTAGCACAGGGCTAAACAGAGCCAGCCGGGGCTTAATCATTATTTATGTCACTCATTTTTCAATGAAATGTCATTTATGAGACTCTTTGTACACTGACCTGCCAAACAATAGCCCCTTAATGACAAATTGCATCATGTAATAAACATGTAAATATATATTTAGACTTAAAAAAAAAAAAAATTGTATGAGGTGATCATTTGTTGTGTTAAAATTCGTAGGAGGGACTATGACTCTAACTGACCTCCATGACATTTAGCTACTCTCAGCTGAAAGGAGTCTGAACTTCAACTTCAGACAACTAGTCTGGGCCCAGATTATGGCTTGTGATATTAGAGAGGTGGGAGTGGTGTCCCACTATCACTGTGACCCCTTTAATGGCAGTGGCTTATTGTTCAAAGAACAGGAGTGGCTGTAATCCGCAGCTCATAGACTGAGCGACTCTGTCCCCGCCTGTGAGTGTGTTTCTGTCTCCATGTACATATACAGTACGGTTTGTGCACATTTGTATGGGTCAACATGTTTGTTTGTGAGCATGTTTGTGTGTGTGAGAAGAAAGAGAATGAGAGAGAGCAGTGTGTGATCTAGCTCCTAGCACAGTGAGTGAGGGTGTAACCATTAGAAGCCCCTCGCATTCCTCAAGACAGGCTGACTGTGCTGCCAACTGTGGTTTAGGGGGCTGGAGACCCACAGACAGGATGGAGTCTCGCAATACAAAAGAGAAACAATTTGGCTCCTCAACCCAATAACATAGCCTTAGGCCATAAGGGGGAGAAGGAGAGAGGGGGAGAGGGAGAGGGCTTGAAGTCTTGGGGTGAGTGGAGAGGTTAGAAGACTTTTGATCCTCAGTTATGACACATTGGTTCATAACTACAGCTTGTCTCAAGCCTCAGTCTCATTCCCATGATCAACATTATTAATATGCCTCTGGCAGCCAAAGGTCCAGGCCTCTCCTGTGTAGTTGTGCCAAAAAGCAATTCACAGGAATTTCACAGCATCTTAAAACTGTATCACAGTTGAAATGTGGAAAACATGCCCGTTTTCATGTTTCATTCTTTACTGACCTGACTTCGAACGGGTCCTGAACCGTTTCCACTGGGCGGGGGAGGTTTTCTATCAGTGAAAGTTGATGAATATGTATTTACTATATACAGGGAGCCCTTCATAGCCAAAATGGAGACATATTGGAAAATAGTGATGACAGCTCTGTAATTCTTTCTATGCAAATATTATACGACACAATGTGGTGATTTCACTTGGCAAAGCTCAGTGTAGTATCTCTCTCTCTTTTTTAAAACAGACCAGCCCTTTCAAGAGAAGCTCTGTGACACAAACACTGGTGTTTCTCAACTACCATTTCCTTTGCACAGGGGAATTATAAAAATGGAATCAATCACATCCAGTGTGAAAAAAAAAGATGTTTACTATGGAAAAGTGTTGGTCCCCTCCCAGCTCCAGCAGACAGACCTATACAGGACTGACTCTGTTGCCAAACAGCACACATACCCGTCCGGTTTGTGGCTCGCCTGTTTGTTTTGGTATCTAATGCACACTTCCTTTAGTTCACCCTTTCAAGTGGAACATGGAATAAGACCTCCAGATAGAGAAACGTGTTCACAGTGAAGTGGCATCTCTGACTGACAGTGCAAATCTCATGTTGCTTTAAATGAGATATTCCAATTTAATTAAAAAGTGGATTTTCCCCCACCTACACTGTATACAAAAGCTTTTGATAATCTTGGAAAGGTAGCTTGTGATGGATAGCAGTTGGTGTTTTGTGGTTTACCCTCAGTCAAGCGCCAAATAAAACAACACTAAACAGCTGATGAATGATTTTCTGCCATTTTGTTGATAACACAGCTTGTTGAGTCTTCTTAAGTTTCATTCTTTAATAAAATGATTGCCTGTTATTCATATATGGCATGAAATGTGTAACCATAAATCATTCTATTTCTCACAAGCAAACTGTTCCAAAATAATACTTTTACAGCAAACCACAGAGGAAAAGAAAGAAGAAAAAGCTACGGTTTTCCAAGACTGAATGCAGCAGTCAAGATCAGCCTGAGCTGTCAGTGGTGTTACTTTGTACTGGGCTTGTTGCTCAACACTGTGTATTTATATGATTCAGCATTGGCAGGAAAGTCCAGAAATGAATTTAGTTTGGGATATTGTCTTTTCACTGGTCTATTGACTTTACTGAAACCACTGTCCACATGAGACTTCATCATCCCCCCTTCAAAGTCAAAAATTTGCAAGATTTAAAAAATGTTTATTACTGTTGTAACCATAAAGACATAGCTCCAATTCCAAGTAGTGCTAAAGCATGTTGTTCTACTCACATTTTCATAAAGGGCATGCAGCGTCTCCAGATCAACCACGGTGTTGTCCATATTTAGGACGGCTGTGGATGGAAGGAGAGGATGACATGGTTAATGTTAATGTTAACGCTAAAGCATGTCATGACATTTCTCGGTTACCTTTAACACCGTTAACAAGTCAGAAATCAAACCAGCACAGACAGGCCTTCACTCTCACAACCTCTAGATTACAACATTTTACATTGGCTGTAAAAACAATCACAAACAGTGACAGAAGACCTTTTCAAATGTGAGTGTTTTTTGCTAAGGCTGAAAGCGGCATGAAACAAGGGCAGAAATTCTCCCTCCATGGCCCACATGAAGCATCATGAGCCGTTTGCTGCGAGTTACATAGTTATCAGCTCTCATCACGATCGCATGTAAGGGGCCACAAACTAAAACATAAATAGGGAGGTCTTAGAAATCTGTCAAAGGTACAAAGATCTGTGTTTGAACTCCTGTGTTTGAATTCCTGGTGTCGCCTTTTTGTCTCGGCGCGAGGACCTGGCGCCCGCGAGCATTAATCCTTTGAAAGTAAATGTTTAAAGACAAACAGAGCCCGGGGGTCTGCGGTGTTGAGGCTGAGGTGTTGCTGTACGCAGTCACCCAGTGAAGCACTCGACACCTATATATGTATTTCACTCTGCTGTGGGTGTCCAAATTACTCACATTGTTTTGATCTGCTGATTTGCTGTTGAGATACAGGGGGAAAAGCTAGCGTCAGGGTGGATAAAGGAGCTTGGAGTAATGGACTCGGTGCACAATGTTCACTTTGCATCACATCTTATGCCTTGACACTGAATATGATTGGACTTCATATAAGCTTTTCACCAACACAAGAAACAAGAATATGAAAGATCAAGAGAAAAACAAAATTAGAAAAAGGGGAAAAAGCCTGAAGTGGCTGTTGTACAGATCCAGTCACTTCTGTGTCATGTTTTTAGCTTTGATATTGCTTTCTCTCTGTATGTAATCCTGTAACCTTTTTAATCTCTTCACTTTTGAGCCACAAGGCAAATCCACTCCTACTTTCCCAGTTCTTTGCTGTCACTCTCTAAACTCTTCACACTGTCTCCTCTTCCAAAGCCACCACAGAAATAACTTCCTTTCCCTCCGACTCTCCCTTTTTCTGTTTCTCGCACTCTTCTCTTGTAACCATTTGGTTTTCATTACTATCTGAACCAGAGTCTGGCTGGCTGGTTTGATTGGAGACGGGTTTTAAAAGACACGGGAGAAAGCCGTATCATCACTCTGACACAGACCTCTTATGACCATAAGCCAGATCCATCTGCCTGGGTCTACCCCGACTATACCACATTCAACCCCAGCATGGCGCCAGCAACCACCATCTAATACTGTGACTGGCGCTCCAAACCCTCACAGGAAGCAGACACCGCACGGAAGTGTCCTATGAAACATGCAGAGTGTCGGCCAAGTCTTGAGAACAAACAACAACAGCTGTGAGGAACAGAAAAATGTGTTGACTTCTCACTGAGCAATCGTGCTGTCATAGAACAGACACAATCTAAATCAGTGATTAAGAACTTGTTTTTCAAGTCAGAGATATATCCAAGTGACGAGGGCTTTACTAGTCGACTTCTTCATCATGGAATCAAGAGGAAATACAATGATTCACAATAATTATAATGTTCTGATGAATGAATCTTCTTGAGTAAACAAATTGTACTTGGATTCTTTAATCATCGTAAACCTCTGATGGCACAAGGGAACATGAGATCTTTTTAGGAAATGGAAAACAATAGCATCACTAATATCTCTTTTGAGTTTTCTTCATTATGTGAAATAATGAATTTTCTATGGCTATAATCATTTGCCTAATATATGTCTAAAAATCCTTAAATTAAAATCCATGACAAAGTAAATAAAAAAGGGTTATTTTGCTTGTGCAGGGCAGTTGGAATCCTACTGCTTTGAGGAACAACTAGCACACATACTGAGAGATATCTTTTCTCTGATCTGGCTCTCCATGATATACTGAAGTTTCCAATCAGGGCTAATTATGTATTATGGCTAAAACTGTCCTAACATAGGAGATGAATGACAGTGCTGATGAGAGTGGCCCTCGCTTGGCCTCCCACTCTGACCTGAGATGAATGTGACCAAAGACTGAAACATAGAAGAGTTAAAATTCAGTCCACAAGATGCTTTGAAGATACTGCAAATGAAATAGCATCACACAGTCACTGTTTATTGCTGTGCAAGTGTACAATATGTACCAGCCATGGTTTCTGTGGTGCACATTTATTTTGATGTAACCTACCCAACTTTCATACGCATTGAGATAACAGATTTGAAGCCATAATAAAGGCTCTGCCGTAGGAGGGTTGAACAGGATGGAAGAAAGAGGAAGAGTGTTTAGACACATGGATGAGCGAAGACTGGCGAGCAATCAGAGAGTAACTAAAACAGGAAGACAGTCTGTTCCCATCAACATCTCCTGAATGACTTCACTTTAACAAAGCCGTTTAGACAAGATGGTGACAACTCATCAGTGAAAGAGAGAGAGCAACTGAGAAACATGATGTGAATGTTAGATGGGGAGAGATTATGCAAAATGAGAGCAAAGAAAAACAGGCGTGAAGAAAGTAACAAAGGAAACCCATTTCATGTGCCTCGCAACATTATAACTTGTGATAAAGCTAACTACTAAAGAGAGGCTTAAGCTTTGGCAATGACCTCAGCCAGTATTCAATATTATTGTATTTTATGTCAGACAGGGTCAAAAAATCTCAACACTGCGGTTTACATTATGTGTACAGAATATGTTTCACAAAATGTTGTGCTTTCAGAGTGGGGTTTGATGACAGCGATCAGCGTGTTTATGAGCATGAACGGGTGCACCAAATTTCGGGGCAATCCATCCAATAGCATCTGTCAACCTCATGGTGGCCCAAGTCAGAAAGTCAATAGATCAGCAAAGGGATTATAATTCATCCTCTGGGTACCGCGAACATCTTTATGAAATTTCAATATTATTTGTCCAATAGTAGTTGAGTGGTAGACAGACAAACTGCCACCCCCAGAGCCGTGCAGCTAGTGTGGCTAATAAAAAACATTGATGAAATGTATATATGTGACAGTTTATGTGACAAAGCAGATTTTTTTTCATGTGAAATACAGGTACATTGAATATCAGAGCAGTATTATCATTTGTATGTTTTAGAAACTATTGGAAAATATATAATCTATTATATCTATTTAACGTTTCCCCACATTGACTATGACAGTAGTCATGCTTTTGAAATCAGCAGGGCAAAACAGCTACGCTTTCTACAGAGAGAAGACACATCCTACCGTCCGCACAATTGTGTCAATTTACTATCACCTGTGTCACTTCCCAAAATATGAGTCAGATACATGGCTACATGATAACACTTACCATTCTGGATGTCCTTCATATCAAGATGAATGCTGGACATCAGAATACCCACAGCCTGTGAACGCTTGTTGCTCAAAAGCTTCACCACCTAAGAAATGATGATACAAAGACACATGAGCAGTGGGGTTATACGAGGTCAGATAGACTAGAGATGTTAATACTCCATATACCATGACGCACACATGCAGACAAAACATTTAATAACCAACTGGAAACAAAAGACAGCAACATCCCTTCTCTCCGTCTGTTTCCTTCTGTGGGAGGAAAACTGAAGACTATTCACCCGCAAACATTAGGAAAATTATAATGCTGTCTAGATGAATTACGGTGATTAATAATTTTTTCATTTTTTCTCCAATTCTCCACATCCATCATCTTTCAGTCTGGTGATTAAAAACCTACAGGTCATTTACACAACAGGCTTATTTGCTAAGCAGATCGACTGATTAAACATACAAGGAATGTGCAAGTTTTTTTTTACATATTAGTTTTTGGAATCACAGAGTACAGATATATTCTTAAAGGGGAAAGAAGTCCATCAAAACTTATAATAACATGTAGTCAAAACAATTGTATTCCAGGTACAAAACTGCCCTGAAAGCTGCAATATTAACAAAAGTTAGCTGAATAATAATAGCTTCCACTTGTCAAACAGCCAGGAGTTGAATATCAAGCCATTGTGGTTATTATGCATGAAAAACTGGATCCAAGGGGGCCATTATGAGCCAATGCTCATCTAAGTAAGCACAAGTGTGTGCTGGGTAGCTGGAAATGGTGAAGGGACAGGACAGGAAACCCGTAGCCTACTGCGATCCAGACAGAATGCTTCCATCTAAACCAGATCACACAGACCACAGACCTCTCAAACACACAGGAAGTTATATCACCAGGCCCCAACTGTCTCTGTTTTCCTGGCTCAGCCACAGCTTCAGGGGACAGGCCGTCCGAGATATGATTCCACAGTGAGTCTGTGATAGCTAGTGTATGGCAGCTATGTAGTAGGCGGTCATTAGTCAACTTTTATCAGCTGACCTGAGTCTCCCAAATGTACAAACAGTTTTAAGTTACATTAAGTTCAGTAGTTTAGTCCCTAGCAGAGTGGCCTGATATTACAGAGGATCACTTTACTATTTTATTATTTTATAATGAAACACAGCTGGATTCATGAACCACCATAGTTATTGAAAGTATTTTTGCATGACTAACAATTTCAACAGTAACCTTTTAGGACAACAAAACTACCCTGCATTTGGGTTGGGGGGTGCAGTATCAGACTTTGAAAGCCCCTGGATTTGTTGACAGAAAATCAAGCTGAAAATACTTTCGTGATGAATTAATTAGCCTATTTACTTAATTTTTTAGTCACAAATGCCAAATCCCTAGTGTCAGCTTCTTGAATGTGACGTTTTGCAGCTCCTCTTTCTTCTCTTTCTTTGTGGTTTTGAACTGTTGGCCAGGCACAACAGGAGCATCACTCACTATTTTCCAATATTTTACTAACCAAAGGACTGAAGGAATAACAAACAACATAATCAGCAGATTAATCAATAGTGAAAATAATTGTGAGTTGTAGCCCGACTGTCAATCATATAGACTATCCTCTTTTAACCTCTTTTAGAATTCTATTTTCTTGCAGGAAAACTGAGTGTTGAGGAGGAATAAACTGTGTACTGTGGAGAGCAGCATACACTGTAAAACAGCTCCGCAAGGGTAAACACTTGTTTCTGGATTATGATTGTATTTCTTCACATTTGACACTGCTGTCTGCAGAGGCCTTTAAACTGGCCTCTGCCAGCTGACGTCAAAGCTGCTCTCAGGCGGGAGTTCTGCAGAAGATGCTTGTTCCCTCTCATCAGCGAAACAGTCGAACTCACAACACACAGGGGGTTGGGAAGAGCTGCAAGTGGTAGGTGATGTGATCGATCGTCTTGAGGCCTTGGGGGCCGGTCCTCATGGAAGCTGGAAATGTCAAAGGTTGGCTCCAAATTGGGGTCAGTCACAGTTCTGTGCATGTTTTTATTTTGCCGTTATTTACTTCAATATCTTCAGCCCATTGTTTTGTTGGGGAACACCCACAGCAGATTCATGCAGTGATGACCAAGGGAATTAAACCCACACCCAACTCAATTTGTCTCCTGTCTCCCACAATTTAGCAATCCAACCACAACATGAGCTGCTTCATGATGTGGTAGCCTACTTATTCACAGTTCTATCAATCAGAACATCACAGCAAGGAGAGGACATTCACTCTGGTCGTTCTCCATCTCCCTGCTGTGTCATCACCTATCAAACCAATAGCACTACATCTAAGCTTGCCGGTGTAGTTCTGCTCTGTTGTGTGTCTATATTATGTGGAAGCAATCATCTGACAGCTCCTGGAGTGTCAACATGATTGATGACTGCTATTTCTGAAGTGTGTTTGAAAAAGGATTCCTGTATGAAAGTGTGATTTTCCCTGTGAAGGGCAAATTCAGTTAGCTTATCTACCGTTTTTTCATCGCTGCAGACTTTTGTGCTCTATTGGATCAAAGCTGCAAGGTGAGTTAGTGGTAGAATTTATCGTATACTGTGTACTCAGCTTCAGTTAGTTAGAGCAACATTCATGACTATTTCTGTGTGTTCAGACCCAGTTACTCTACTGTGCTATTATTTTCCTTTAACATCTATTTATCATTTATCTTATCTCCTGTTGAATCAATGATTGGATTAATTTTGGGTTGAAACAGTGAATAGAACTATAGGATTCGGTGGCATTAATGACTGGATCTGTGAAAGTAAAAATGACTTACAAAAAAAATCTTATCACAAAATGAACTACAAATTCTATTCAGACATTATACCCTTTATATGTAGGATCTGAAAACTTTGGCGACTCCTTGTGATAACTACAAAAAAGACAAGCTGCTACCACCCTGTTACATATCTCAAAGCAATACACATATAGACTGCATCAATTTTCACCAGGATTGTGTTTTTTCACTAAAAACAAAAACCCATGCGGTAAGAATAATGTGAAAGGTGTTATGCAATAAATAATAATAAATAATAATAAATAACCAAGAAATACTAAAAAGAACAAAAAAGACAAATTTTCCATTCATTTGAAAGGCACTTGAAAGAGCTTTAACTTAGCTACTGCAGTTATCAAGTTGCTTCCTGCTGTTGCATGTTCCTCATAAAAACAGAGAAGTAGCTCATGCTTGTGGCTTTTCTTATACAGGACTCTCAGGACTCTTCACAGCTTGAGGATCACATCACTGAGCATTGCAAAAGTGTTACACTCAAGTGAACCCGTGAGCAGATGAAACTAGTAAACACAGAGGCTGAGGCTCAAATATGATTTCTGATCCATATTCTATCTCTCTGACAGACTTGTGTTTGTGTTTATTTATCTTGACAGTTTTCAGCTGTCTGCCACCCTGTGGACCGTACACCTGTCGTGCTGGAAGTGGCATCTAAGTCATTCCTTATATTGTCTGGCGGCATTTAAATGCCAGCCACCTAGGTGTTGGATAGTTAGTAAGGCTCCTGCATCTTAGATTTGAGTCCACTGAGCTGTTTTCAGATTTATCTTGTCTCCTTAAAGTGACAAGCATCAAAGCTGGAGACAATAGAAATGCAAAAATGGGCCCAAAGGACATCAGCTGTTCCACACACACCTGGAATGGACCATGTGGCAAAGGTAAATACAGCACTGGAATTTTTTTAATTTTTAAAGATGCAATGTGGCTTCAGAAAGAACTCAACTGGACTTAAATTATTATTATGTTTGTTTTTTTTTTTTTTCTATGTTAAGAGTAGAGGAGTGCAACCTTTTTTTGCAAGTAAAACTTTCATTCAACTGCTGCCTTTCAATATTTTTTTTTGGTGTCAAGTTTCAATCCATCACTTCCCATAAACTAAAAAGATTTCCCACCAACGTCCACATTTCATCTCAACAAAAGCTGTCATGTGATTCTACTGGGTCTCAATTAGAGGGGTGAAGCAGTCTTCCCTAGTGCAACATTATTTGTGATTTGTGACACATAATTTGGGCGAATAGTACATTAACATATAAATCTTGACTAGAGCAGCTTTAAATTGTGGATCAAAATGTTTGACTTGTAGATTGATGGAGTGGCATAAAGTGCATTAGGGAGGGAAACAGTCTGACTATTAAACTAAGTCGTACAGAAAGCACAATGGGAGGAACCGCATCATGAAATACGGCTCCCAGGCTTCTCCCTCCCTCCCTTTTTTCCTTCTCACCCCTCGCTCTCTCTCTCGACAGTCATCACCGTCGTGAGGTTTCCTCACCGCACGCGAGACATTGGCTCGGTGCCACTTGATGGTCACGGGGGAGTCGGGTGGGAGCCAGAGCTCACACCACATAATAACTGTCTGGCTGTAGCAGTTCCTCCTGTCACTCAAAGCAACTCAGAGACTGACAGTGAGGAGAGAAGGAGAGGAGCAGGGCACCAGAGGAGTAATAGTGAAGATGAGAAAAGCCCTGAAGAGTGGCGTTTTCGGTGACCTAGCCACACACACACACACAGGCAATTGTATACATAAACTAATCTGTACAGATGCATTATATTGTATGTTTATTGTATGTAGAGACAAACACACAAATACCATAAAATGTACAGTACCTGCTTGGCCTTGGACTTGCTGATTGTGTCTGAAATTGGCTTTTTCTTCTCCTTAACAGCACTTTTGGAGAATAGTTCCACAAATTCTTCAAAGTTCACAGTTGGCTCCTCAATTTTCTCCCACACAAGTGAGTCACTTTGTCTAAAGATAGGAGGAAAGAGGAATTATTCACAGTGGGCAAGTGGGCAAGCTTTAATCTGCCATGCATTGTTTGAAAAAGTGGAGCCACTTTTATAGAGTAATTCATGTTATTATTTCACCACAACAGGCATTTTTGACATTTCTAGAGTCTCTTCTGATGTTTTATGGGCGCTCATTTGTCATCTTTAGCAGAGTAAAAATCCATAAGTTATACACTTGTCAAATCTGTCAGCCAACAAATTACATTTAGAATTCAGTATCAAGTTCCTTACTTGCAAATAAATCAAGTGGTCTATTTCTAGACATTTATTCAACTACAATTTTCCAAGCCTTATTAAGGAAAGAAACCTGGTTCAAGTCAATTCAGTGCTGACCGCAATGCCTGGACTGCATCACTTTCATTTTCCACAAGGTTAGCAGCTCTATTGCCATCACAGCATGTGGCCGATCTTTATCTTAAGTGGACAAGCTTCCTCTCAATTCTCTACTGTTCAGAGCATACCTTAGTGCAAATGATCCATGTCTATCTTCACTTTATACAGCATATCCTTACTTTTTAGCATGCAGCTGTATGCGTGTCCAGTAGAGCGGCTTCATTGGCTTGGGGGGCTCTATCACAGCCTTGGCGGGTGCAGCTTCCTGGACCATCATGGAGGGCATGGAGCCTGGTGGTGGTGGAGGCCCAAAGCCTGGGGGTGGGGGTGGAAGTGGGGGGCCCATTCCAGGCGGAGGGGGTGGCGGAGGTGGGCCCATACCAGGCGGTGGAGGAGGTGGGGGTGGTGGTCCGAAACCAGGCGGGGGAGGAGGTGGTGGAGGTCCAAAACCTGGTGGTGGAGGAGGAGGGGGAGGCGGTGGTGGACAAGGTCCAAGACCGGGTAAGGGCGGCGGAGGTGGTGGTGGAGGAGGAGCGACACCTCCTGGTAAAGGTGGTGGTGGTGGTGGCAGAGGTGGGGGCATACCACCAGAGGCGGGAGGGGGAGGAGGAGGGGGAGGTGGGGGCAGAGGAGCTGGTTGGGTGCTGCTCTGCTGCCTCTGCTTGCACGTGCAAACAAAACTCTCTGTCGATTTGGGGATGGAGGGAGAAACAGAGGACGACGCGCTGCCTGATCCTCTGCTGAAAGGCACGTCAAACTTAAACTCCTCCTCCACAGGCGAGGTCTGGACAGACACCTCCTGGCTCATCTTCCCCAATCTTCCCCCTCTTATCTGTGAGGCCTTGTGGTGGGCAGCGCCCAGGGCTCCCATATTATCCCCGCTGCCCTTTGCCAAGGAGGCCTGCTGGCCCTGCAACACAGCAATCTTAATCCGCAGGTCATCGATGGTCCTCTCCAGCTGAGGGATGAGACCGCTTTCATCCTCTGAGGAAGACTGACCTGATTTCAGCCTGCTGGACTCTGTCTGTCAGAGAACAAGAGAGGTGACTTTCACTAAACATACAACTACTTTGTGTTGTTTGTGTCTTTCCTACATGAAACCTTCTTTAAAAACAGGGAATGAAGCCTAGCTTGTACTCTACATGTTGAAAAGCAGATTCAAATTTGCTGTTGAATATTGGACACATAAATTCTACTTTACAAACAATAGAAACGCCAACAACTGAAAGAGCTTAGTGAGATAGCTAAGAGCTAAAGAAGGGTCAAGAAAGTCCATTATGTCTAGACTCCATCAGACCTCTGGCTCCAGACTGGTTAGAGCAGGGATGAGGGGATACCGAGAGATTTGACCCCAGAGACAGTGAGTCTCCTTGGGCCTCATATGGGGAGGGTCTGTGTCTGCTAGTACACATTCCCCAGTTGTGGTCACATCGTTGAATCTTAAGGAGAATGTTCAGTCAGTATGGCCTACCTAATTTATTAAGTCTTCTGGGAAAGAGGGAGGTTCACTGCGACAATTTAACAAGTCTTTCAAGACAAGCCTGACCTCTGGTGGACAAAGAATAAGTTGCAGCTGATGCAGTTCATCCAGAGCATCTTGTGAGCGATGGGACTGAGGTTCACTGTATTCCGAGAGCAGGTAACACAGGTCATGTTGTTTCAGATTTCAAAATAATATCAAATATGCATCAAAGCAACAATCACATCCTTCCATGCCTTATAATCTTGTATGGATAAAATGCATTATATTTACAAATCTAATTCATATTTCTACATTTGTTTCAAATCTCTTCAGACAATTCCGCACATTTGACATAAGGTTTGTAAAATAAACAAAATATGAATTTAATGAGGGGAAGAGAGCCTTAGGAGTCCACCTTACCTATAGATAACTTTACTTAGCTGTGTGTGCTTAAAATGATGCAGTAATTTTTTGCCTTGTTTGTGTGTTTCATTTATATTTGTGAATTCAATTGAAATAGTTTTTTTAAGGCTTTAAATAAATACATGCCAGTCTTCTGATACAAGGAAGGCATTCACTCATCAGTCAGCGAGTGGCTCTTGTAGAAAGACGTATTTATATAAAACCTGTGAAGTTTCATTTTTTAATTTGCTTTTGATATGATTACAGTAAAAAATGAAAGTAAGAGGTACAGACAAATGTTCACAAAAATAAAAACAGAAAAGCTGATGTTAGCAGTAAAACAAAAGGCTCTACCATAAATCAAAGCAAGCGTTAAGCACAGAGTGCAGACAGGGCAAACACGCTATTAAATATTTAGAGACGAAGAGATTATGCAACCAACCTGAGAGTGTAGAGCTCCTGGTGTCTTCGCTGATGATTGATTCAAAGGGGATATCAAGCTCTGCACTCTGCCTGTGCTTCGACCCCCGTAGAGTTCCCACAGGTGGGAGGACACTGGCAGGCCTACAGATGCCCAGGTGTACAGCTGCTCCTCCTGCATGAAGTTCACAAAACAAGCAAGTGCATGTATTGTGAATGAGATCAGATCCAAGGTCAGATGTTTGTGCTTAAAACTACTTGCTCCCTCCAAGGACTAGTACTAGTACATAAATAACATCCACCTGGGATATGAGTTAAGTGGTAGCTCTTTGTGCAAGATTTCGAATGTGGAAACACTTGAGGATAATAAGCAGCAGTAAAATCAAACAGACCGTGGAAGCTAATTCTTGGCATCTTATTTATTGTCTCATAGTCCCATAGCATTGTTTACACAAGTTGGAATGTACAATTATTAGTGACTACGATTTTTATCATTTCTGGTTTTCAGAGTTAGCTGTCCTGTCTAGATTTGTCTTCAACAAAAACATGAAACATGATGTCGCCACTAGACATAAATAAAAGTGCCGTTGGACCTCATTTACTGAAGGGCAGTAGTAAGAGATTAAAAACTGAGCCCAAAAACACACTGAAAGAATTATTACTGCATTCCCTCTCCCCCTCCCTCTCTCTTCAAATGGTCCACTTCATGACCACTTGGACATTTGTTCACAAGACTGCTTTCAAGATGCCTCAACACAGTGTGCAACCACAGAGCTTCTTTGGCAGCAGGTTTTTTAATGTTCCCATTAAGTGCCAAACAAAAGATACCACTCCACAATCACAGCAGCATGTTACATTTATGTTTGCGTGCGTTGGGTCACTCTTCCGTCAAAATGCGCAAATAAAAATGCTAAGCTACAACTGCTTGTTAGCCGGCGTTGTTGTGTATTCCATGAAAACTGCCTAATTATTTTAATGTATGGTAAAGCATGTTTCTCAAATAGTACAAAATCTTAATCACTTCAAACAAACAACTAATTATAAACTGAGAATTAGTGCATTTGCATTCATGTTATGTTACAGTACTTATTTTAATGACTGTAAAGACCATACCAGGCATGACAACAGACATCCACAAATACTATGAGGGTCATTCAAAGGACCCAGTTGTGAGCATGTTCCCACCCAGTACAAAGGTGAAATATATCAAAGCTATAATGAGCAAGTTATTCGAAAAGCTGTTTTGAACTTTCCTTAATTTTCTTAAATACTTGTGCTTAGATTTTAATAAGGAAAGTAATTTTTTTTCCATGGAAAGTGGCGTGTAGAGCTTAGTGCCGTGCAGAGACAAATTATATGATAATATGCCACATTGAAAAGCAAATCACTGAACAGTTAGATCATATAAATCTGCTTAATGTGTGTAAAGATTTAATGTGCACGTGAATCATGTGTGAGCACAAATAGCTAATCTTTTTCAGAGACTTGATGCCTACATTTCCCAACATGCACTGAGGGTTTCTCTCAGGACAAAACCCATTAGCTGAACTCTGGTAACCTGACCTACAGCCAGAAAAGAGTCACGCACACAAGGTACAAAAAAGCATGCCAGACTGATGTGAGCCAATGCCACTAATTAGTATTTATCCACTCAGCTATGTTTTGCCAAGTATAAAAGGGATGACACTTGATTTATATGGTTCTTTTATACTCATCCTCCCTTAAATCCCATTTTTGGACTGAATGAAGCTGGTGGAGTATTTAATTTCAGGCAGTTTGCAGAACAAGAAACAAATCCCTCACACATTTGTTCACGCCAGCAAAATACAGTGATGAAATTTGATACAATGCCATATTTAGGTAGCAAAGTGGAGGACAAACAGGAGATGAGTGGATATAAAAGGAAATACAAGTGGATATAAAAGGAAAGGAAGATGGAGAAAGAGATGACAGAGGTGATGCAGTAAGTGATTCATTTCAAGACAGAATCTAACTGTAAAATGGAGAGTATAAAGGTTTGAGATATTAAAGGGGTTTAAGTGAAAAGGTTGCAGAGAAGCAAAGTCAAATTGATGATTTACTTTAAAAGGGAGATTAGCTGAAAGACAGAAAGCAACAACAAGAAGATCTGTACTTTCAATGGCCACAGCAAAGGTTGTTCTTGGTCAAGTTGAATAATGCAGGACTCCAGGCCAAACTGAGAGAGTGAGGAGCTTTTTGCTGGGGAAGAGCAGCCTGAGCCCAGGGCACGTGGAGTTATTACATAACATGGTCAGCAGATGGTCTACGCAAGCACAGATGTGTGTATGTGTGCATTTGTGTGTGTGTGACTAAGCGAGTGTCAGAGGGAATGCTATTAATCCAGCCATGCGAGGGAAATGTCTGAACATGTATGGGTGTCTCAGGCTGTCCTTTTGTATATGTGCACATGTGTCTTTAACACACTCATGCAACTGTGGACCATTAGTAGAGTTTTACATAAAAAGAAAGCACTCTGCATTTGTGCCCTAACGTGAGTGCACGCTACACAAGAAGAGTAAAATGTGACTGGATATGAGAGATTTGTATTTATGGGAACAAATACAGCTTGAGAGCATGCATGTAATCCTGCTTTTGTCCGTATGAGTTTAGCTGTTTGCATTTAGATATGCATATGAGCATGTAATGTGTATGTCCATGAATGTACTTCTGTGGGGGAGGTGCATTGTGCAGCACTAATTTGATGATATTCTTTGATATACAAAATTACAAGACCTACAGCCAAGCTAGCAGTAGTACTTTGAGACGAATGCAAACATCAGCATGCTAATGTGGTCACAACGAGAATGCTAACGTGTTAATGTATAGTAGGGAATGTTTACTATGACCACTTAGTTTAGCTTGTTAGCATGCTAACATTTGCTAATTAACACAAACCTCAAAGTACAAATGAGGCTGACGGGAATATCATTCGTTTTCCAGGTATTTGGTCATAAATCAAAGTATTGGGCAAATTAAATTTTGACCTGATGATTAGAGGAAAATTCAAGGGGTTTCATTCAAAACCAGAAATGTCAACCTCATGCTGGCGGTAGAGGAAAAGTCTGTGTAATATTTCATAGCAAACCATTGAACAGTTGTTAAGATATTTCAGTCTAGACCAAAGTGGTGAACTGACCAACACTGCCATCTGTAGAGCCACATGGCTACAGTGGGTAAAAATAACAATAATGACATAATAATTTCTATTTAATTTTTCCATAGTTATACGTCCTTAACCTAAACCTGCAGTATTACCAACATAAAGTTCAGTTAGATGGACGCAGCTAGAGGGGGAATTTGACAGAAATGGCTTTGACAGTGGCCGTGGTGAACTGTGCAAGGGAATGTGATGCACACAAGATTAGGTCTGAGCAAAGCATTACTGGAATGAAGAATTAAAGATTCATGAAATCAACTTTCACATGGTCACTCTGACTTGACTACATGCACCACTGCTCTTCAGATAATGAAATGTCTGTGGGATGAATCACAGTAACACAGCAATATATATATATATGTGGAAACATATTGGATAAGCTTTGAACTGACTCTGTATAATGCATATAAGGTAATCACTACAGCATTCTTTGAGTATTTCATCTGATAAGCACATGTTCTCTTTTGTGTAACAGCCAATGTTATACTATCTTCACGCAATGAATTGTTATAAAAAGGTAAAGTGAGAAATATAAATCATACATCACAACTTGGTAATTTACAGTTGATGTCAAATTAAGGTAAAAAAAAAAAAAAAAAAAAAAAAATCAATGCTGACTGATCCTATAATTCCTCTTTAACTTGACTGTACAGTGTTCAAAAACAGCGAAGTCTATTCAGCTTTGAGCCGAGCTGAAGCAAGAAAGCTTGTGTCATTTTTGTAAAACAAGTGTGATGACAGACAGTGATGAGAAAGGTCTTACATTAAAGACTCCTGAGGCATTGCTGTCACCATGGGGCTCTGCGGAGCCATCACTGAATGGTTGCAAAACACCCTGGACCAACATTCGATGACACAATTCCTTTGCCTCTTCTTCTGTGGACCCATCTCCATGATGCATACACAGCCTGTCCAACAGAGTGCGACCTGAGAACAGAAGAGAGATGCAGTGCAAGAATGAAACTGGCCTGGAGAACACAAAGCTCCATTTTCTATGTGGAGAAGGATGCTCAGATATGTTAATCATGATTCTGGACTGTAATTAATATTTTTATACTACTTATTTTTAGATAGCTTAACAAAGAGTTAAATAGAGATGTCTCAGTTTCATATGTGATAATTAAACACCTTCATTTGCAAACTCTATTCACACCATTTACATGTGGGTGACGAGAAAGATGCTGTTAATTGTGCAGCACAAAGAATTGACAAATGATATTCAAGATGCATGTTACCACACAATATATCTAATAATATCACTCAGTTTTTAAACTACTATTTTGGTTTCAAAAACAGTGATGGATGAACTTTATATGATTAAAAAGTGAGTTTTGGCTGTAAAAGAGAAAACACACATGGCTTAACCTTGTGGTTGTAGGGCTTGTTAATTTCTGCATTTGAATATAATAAAGTGGGGGGGAAGAAAAACAGATTGTCTTGGAACCAGAGTAAGGAAGAAAAGCGAGTTTAGCCTGTGAGAAATATTAATGAAATTTGTCTTAATCTCAAAGTCCCGGAGCAGTTCTGGATCCCAGATAAGGGAGAATCCTGTTTCTTGATGATGGCAGGAGTAGACGTAATCACTAGGGGTTGGAAAAGCTATTGACATCTACAGAGGATGTGGAGCCTGAAAAATAATCACAGCTCTATTACTTCAGAAAGACCAACCCTGAAACACTGTGCGGTGAGTTTGTAATGTTGTTAGACTAACTTAATATTTTTTAAACCATGTGATTCCGGGGATAGCACCAAATGAATTAACAAAGTCCCATGACTCATTGTCCTGCGCACATTCATTTGAGGACTTTGAGGACAAACAGTCTGAAGGCTAATGCTGTAATGTTTCGGAAATTGTGCGACAGAAATCAAATCCAGAGTCAAATCAGTTCAGGTTCAAGAATTTAGATCCAGAATCTGTGTGATCAGTCTCAGGGAATGTGTTGTTATTTTTTTCAATTGTTCAACCCTATTTCCCCCTTTCCTCTTCCCAGTTGTTCCTAAGGGCCATATGTGACATGGAAAATCTACCGAATTAATTGGTATCACATGAAGTGCTGAATAAGTGTGAGATGGACTGGTGTAATAGCCAGAATCTGTGAATAAAAACAGGACAGTTCATATCCTACAATTGATATTAATGGGGATTCAAGATACAGTCCATCTCTATTGTGTGGATACAGTAAAGGCACCAAAATGTCTGTGGCTCTCGTATCATGATTTATTTTTGTCATGCACATAAACTGTCAGTTGGGTTTAGCATCCACAAGTGTGCACTGTGTGTGTGTGTGTGTGTATGTGTGTGTTATGTCTGGGCCAGTGGAATCAGAGGATGGCATCGCCGTGGGTGGGTGGCAGTGTTGTCATTCGGTCCTCTGATTTATGAGCACAGGCGCAGACAGTGGAGAGCAGCTGAGCCCTTGAACGGCACCACAACAGAAAGGAGGACAGAGTGGCATTGTTTTATTAGAAGGAGGCATTTGTTCTGAAAACACTTCTCAATAAAGAACACCCACAGTTTCATCATGGTTTTCATAAGCTATTGTACTTTTAAATCATAACTTTAGTACTCCCGCTGTGATAAATTGTATAATGTGATAATTTGTAAGTCATTAGGATTTAAATCACTAGGCAATTACCATAATCATTTCACAATACCATTGCATAATGTCAAATGAGGATGGGGCTCGGAGCTAATGTGAGTCACATCCGGCCCACTGGGGATTCCCAGCAACAATAGGAATAAATGATGAACTATCTCAAATATTCTAAGGGAAGGATTTTTATTCTCCCCCGATACACCGCTAGGTCAGGAAAAGGTTGCTTTTGTGAGAGTGGAGGAGTCAATAAAATGAAGGACAATAGACTACTACATTAAAGGGCAAGTCTGGCGATAGTCTATATTTCTCCAACTGTCAACAAATCCCATGAAAAGACCAAAACTATTGGTCCCACTATGACTGGAATGAACTAAAGCCTGACGTAGGTTACTCCTCTGTGCCACAGACCTCCATTGTTGTCGAAACACTAGGAAAAAACACATTAATGAATGAAACCATTACACTGGGTGACATGTTCCTTCGTTACTATCAACATGGGCACTGTTGTTTACCCTTATTTTCCTGCATATCTAATCTGCAGTGGCTGAAAATATTCCCCAACAAATGCATTATTTACTCCTGTTTGAGTAACATTTGCTGAAAACTACAGTTCCCTTTTGGTTTAGGTAAATGAGTCTACATTAACAAATAGGCTTGGAGCTGAATGTCAAAAATAGGTTTGGAAGTCGGAAGGTATCGAGAGAAGGACTAACATATTGCTGGTTTTGGGCTTTTTAAAGGATTTGTTGACAGTAAGAAAATTATATAAATTCACCAGTCTTATTCTTTATGTCTGATCTATGTCTAAATTCATGCAAATACTAAAGTATAATATGGGCTTTATCTAACAGTATATAAACTAATTGTTTTGTTCAATATTGTAGGGCTGTGACATAAACCTGCCAGATGTCTTTAGCCTGGAGTACTATTTTATTCTTAATCCTTTCTTCTCTGCCTGTTCATTCATTACTTCCTCTGAGACAGACCCCCCCACCCCCCCACCCCGTGCCTAAATCCTTCCAGACAGAGAGCTGTTAATAATCACTGTGGTCTTTATTAAACTAATTAGCCATGTCTGTAGTTAAGAAAGATGATATCACACATCTCATGCCACAATGCCATCCATAATCAGTGCAATGATGGCCAAGATGGTGGGTTATATTGCTAATGAATAATGGGCTGATTTTACATAATCAGGCACTTATCTGTGAGGAAGCCCACACCAAAAAACAGTCCTTTATACCTGTCCTGACTGAGCTTTATGTGTGCCAACAGTTCAGTTACCTGTTTCATATGTGACTCACCAGAGAAGACATCCAGGTAGGGTGCTGTGGTAATGGAGGTCTGCCGTCCATAATGTGCTCTCCTGGAGCCCAGTGTCCAGTAATTCCCACTTATGTGACTCTTCTCTGTTGTCTCCTGCTCTGGGAATTTGGCCCTTTCTCTTCGCTCATCCAGCTCTGGGGACCAGTCTGCAGACACACTGAGGGGCCCAGCGAGGGAGCAGGACCTCTGCTTGCGCCTCCTAAATCCCTGGGCCCCACTGGATTCCACTGGAGCAACGGGGGCATCTGTTTTCCTGGGTATGTGGGGGCTGGTAATGGGAGAACCAATTGGAGAGGTGAGCTGCCTGGTGGTGGTCTTAACATAGGAAGGGTGGACTGGTGGGTAGAGTTTGACAGTAGAGGAGGAGCTGGAGGATGTCCGTCTAGGTTGAGGAGCAAGAGGGCTGTCTGTGGTCAGTTGGCTAATAGACATACTACTCTTCCTCCTTTTCAGGGACAGGAAGTCCCATCTGCCAGTTACCTCTTCCTCCTCCCTCTCCATAGACAGGTCCATGCTGCTCACACTTTTGTGAGCCCCCATTGGCCCTGCCCCAGCCACCACAGGATCCAAGCGAACACTTGGCACGCATATGTTTTTACTCAGTGCAGCTTGATTACCTTGAGACTGCTGTGGGTGAAAAACCGGACTCTCCAGGTCTTCCTGGGGCTCCTCAGCACTCTCATACGAGGTGGTGGTGGCTGTAGTGTCAGGGAAGCTATATGTGCTATTAGTCTTTGGGAAAAGGCTGCCACTGCTTCTCTCTGTGTCTGGGGCTGAAGATGGTGGACCGCTCTCACTCAGAGACCCCGGACCAGATGAATTTCTTGATATGGGTATATCACAGCTTTCGTTCTTTAATTCCTCACACTCAGCAATTATTTCTTGAGCTACACTTGCACTACCAACTTCCCTATCAAGATTTAACAGCTGGTGAGATATTACCTTCTCAAGGGCCTTTTTCCCGTCACAGGTCGAGTGTTCAGGTAGGCGGCCAGTTACCATTTCCAGCACCGTGTCACTGGCCACACACTGGTCTCTTATGGCCTGCTGGATGTCAGAGAGCAGGTCTTCATTTTCAGCTGCCGCTGAGTGAAAACTGTAGAGGTCAGCATCTGACCCTGAGCTCGTCTTCCGGCCAATCTCGTCTGCTATAGACTGGTGACTCTCTGTGGGCAAACAGCTTAGATCCCCCTCGACATCTGATAGCATCCCCATCTCATCAGCTGACAGGCTCGCCTCGGCACCGGGACTGAGCCCTGCTTTACCAGAGTGTGCTGCCCTTCCATCTTCCAACATGTCATCCTTGGACAATCCTTTCGCCTTGGATAAACTCTTCCTGATTTTCATGCTTGAAAACACAGAGCCCTTCGACTCTGACTTTGACTTCTTCTTACCACTCTGTTCTCCTCCTCCTTTACTTATCTTGCTGTGGGACTTCTTAGATTTCTTGTCCACTTCAGCATCACCATCACCGGAGACATCCCCTGATGCTCCTCCACCACTTCCTCCTCCTTTCTTCTGCTTTGTCTCCTGGTTCCCCATGTTCCTTAGCAGGCGGACACCCTTGGCTAACAGGCCATACTGCTGGGGTCGAGGCTGGGCATGCTGGGTTTCCTCCTGGGCTGCTACTGATGCTGGTCCTCTGTTGGATACAGCGCTTTCAGAGCTGCCTAATCCCTGCTGCCTACTCACCACGGTTGAAGGCAGCTGTGATGATGATGATGCTGCCTCCCCCGGTGGCGCTGATGCTGATGCTGATGATGAAAGGAGGAGGAGACTGGCACTGACAGTCGCGGGCTCACTACCACTCACTGCTCGCTCACCCCCCCTCCCCTGCACAGCCTCTCTTGCTCTCTGATCCTTCCTCTCTTTTTGCCCCTCCTCTTTATCCCCATCTGCTCCCGCATGCTCGGCTGTCTTGCATAACGGGCTGCTGGTCGAGCGGGCAAGCTGCAGATGCTCCGGAGGGCACTGCCCTTGTCCGTTTTCAACTGAAGGGGAAAGATATTGCTTGGGATGCTGCTGGTGATGCTCTAAAATGCACTGTTGTTGCTGTTGTTGATTAAGGAGTGATTGCTGTTGTTTACGGAGGATGTTGGTAACGCTGCTCTTCCTCCTTCCTTTGAAAGTGGTGGTAAAGAAACTCTCTTTCAGAAAGGGCACTTGGGTCTCCACTGTCTTAATAGTCTGCATCCTGACTACTGTGGCTTCATCCAGAGGAGAGATGATCCAGAGAGGCTGAAGTAAAGAGAAAGGAACAATTTAAACACTGACTCACTTTATATTTAAGCTGAGCTTCACAATAGCACAGGAAAGGAAATCTGTTCTCAGTTTTTGTAGAATTTGCGTGTCCATTACCTCTATAAATGTTTTGATTTCTTAGACACAGATCTAGAACTATTCAGGAAAATCTAGATTGAGAATCAAAGTGAAATTGCCACTGTAACAGATACAAAATGTACAGCTGAAACGATTAGTTGATTAATCAATCCATCTGCATAAAATGAAAAAGCAACTAATATTTAGATTTATCAGAAACAATTTTGATAATAAACAATAATAAATTTAATGGTTTCAACTTTCTCAAATGTGAATGTTTGCAGTTTTTCTTCCTCTTCTACGATAGTGAACTGAACATCCTAGTTTTTTTTACAGCTGATGAGCCCTGGGATCATGTGATGGTCATTTTTCATTGTTTTCTATCTGATCTATTTTATAGATCAAACCAATCATTGATTAGCAAAGAACATAATTGTCAGACTTATCCACAATGAAAATAGTAGATTTTTCAGCCGCAATATAATCATATAGCAAATATTACTGAAAAATGATATTGTATAAAAATATTACATCTATACTTCAAAATACAGACAATATTACTATAGACAGACAATATTATTACATCAAAACATTTCATTTCCAATCATCTCTTAGAGCTACTAGTGGATGCTTATTTAATTGTGTATATGTGTCTGGGTCTGCATCAAGGCATGTATGAGAACTGATTAATGCCCATGGGTGTGGTACAGTCAAAGTCAAGCTGTCATCAATAATTCTAAACATTGCCAATCCTTTCTTACTTAGTGTAAATGGTTTGAAATAATAATGTGAATTCAGTGGTTTTTAACACATTACGCACAACTAAATAAATAAATGACATGCATTCTTGAAATAAGAATCCTAATTAAATAAGAAGAACATTTACCAGAAATAACCAGCTAACCCATTCAAGTTTGTATTTGTCCAAATACTTAATAACTGATAAAGGTTTTCTTTTCTTCTTGAGTACTTCAGAACAGGTTGTGGTCTCTTCTTTGTAAAACCATCACACGTTATGTAATCATTTAGCAGCATGAGTCAAATTTATGAAATTTGTAGTCAAATTAAACAATATATGAAACAGAAAGAAAAAAAAACGCTCAAAAACTTTTCGATTTTGTCTTAAAATTGATAAATATATAAATGAGTCTACTTGCCTGACTGGTGGATTCCCCTCAGCACTGAATGGAGAAAACAACACAAATGGGTGTTTGTCTTCGTCTATGAGCCGCTCCTTAGCCATGGGTCACATGAAGTTGGTATTTTCCTCATCACATGTCTTGTCTCCTTGGCCATCTCCCATTAGCACTGTCTGACACTCCCCTCACTAACTTCATCAGGCCACATCATGGGAACATACACAACTGTGCAAAAGTCAAAGACCACACTTGTGTTTATTCAGTTTCTGGTTAAAATCAGTCCCTCGGTACTAATTTTATTGCAGTGTCAGACAATGATGAGGGTCATATGTAATAGAAAACTAGACAAAAGCTTCCACCTCCACCCGTAGTATCGAGTGGATCAGTATTTTCTACTTCTGGTTGGGGTGCACCCTGGTGCCACTTTTAAGTCCCTCCCTCCAATCAACTAATTAATTGCAGCTGCGTCAGCACACGTCTGTGACTTTCATCTCTACAGGTTCTGATCAGACTAGTTAAACTATAAGATAATTCAATTACATACAAAATGTTGAAGTTAAAGAAAAACATTAGAAAAAGAAGCTATTCATTTTTACAACTGGAAGATTAGAGCAACATTCACACACAAAAAAGGGAGTTGTGATAATTGTGCTCGAGGTGGCAGGGATCTGAAACTATCACCATTGCGGACAGCATTTATCTTTCCCCAAATCTGAACAGGTTTGATGAACAAGTCTAAATCTCAAAGACTCTCAAACCCGTGTCCACAACTTTCAGTGAAGCATGGTGGAGAATCACTGAACAATGTATGATAAAAGAGTTTGGAGTTGTTGATTTGGTTTTGAGTGAAGGCATCATGGATACTCATAAATATAAATGAATACACCCCTATGTTTGAATGGCAGGAAATGCTATAATGACACAGTACCCTGCTAAGATAACAAGGTCACACTTATTAAAGACACTGCTGGTGGACTGGAAATTATAGAATGGCAACTACAAAGTCTAGACCTCAATATGAATGGTTTGGAGAGAAGATTCAGATTTGGAGCGTCTTACAAGGAGCATGTAACAATATTGCAGCATATTTCTTCAAAACAAGTCTCCCAGAAACAATATAGGCCATTATCACAAGAGTGAGCATATTCAAATACGTCATTACAGACCTAATATTGCACAGTTGGTGTAGAGGTTTGTGGCTAGCACCAAAATTAAAGTAACTTACACTTAATGAACTGTGACAGTGAAAACAAGAATGTAATTATCCCCCTCACATATTTACAGCTGATACAGAACAAATAATAACTAATGGCTCACAACAGTACTGACTTTGTAGGACTGATGCCAAAAACTCCAGATAAGTGCCTTGAACTGGTCTTGTTGGCTGCTCAGCTGCTGTAGTACAAGACTGGTCTCAGATGTGAATTTGTAATAATTTGCAATACTCTGGGTGAATTAACCCTAAAGGCAAAAATAAATGAAAACATTCATGACATGATTTGTGACACAAAAAAAAACAAATAGTTTCTGTCAAAAAGTTTTTTGTTTGTTTATTGACTTAAAATATGAGTATGATTGGCATACTTGAAATGTAACAAAATGTTTGTGTTCACCATTTTGGTAGTTTACATTCCCGATATTTAAGTACAAAAATCTCATATTTTGATGAAGAGTGTAGGCTATTATGACACCGGAGCACACTGTGTTGAAAGCAGACAAAATACCCACTGTTGACAGGCATGGGATATTTTTTTAACATCTCATTTTGCAAACAGCACATAAGTCATACCATTATGCATGACCACTGTATCCAACATAATCCAATCTATTCATTCCTCAGTATGCCAGTCATCATGATACAGTTTATCTCCAATACCTTTTGCACAATATTCATACTGAAAGATTTGGGTGCAGCAACAATGTAAAAACATCTACTTAAGATAAGAATAACATAATGTGCATTACAAATAAAAATAAAAATAAATTCTTGTCTTAGCTGGCGTCTTTATGTTGACTTTTGTTGGTATGTGGTGTTTGCCCACTTTCTATGTAGAAAACCTGATGTACTATAGACCAAGACAGGTATCAATTCTATTTACAAATCAATTGCTTTGTAATTTTAAAGAGGAAATAGTTCACCCATAAATCATATGAAAAAAAAACAAAACAGATGATGACAGAAAGTTAAATATTATACTTTCAATGACTGTGGTCATTCTTTTTTACATGCCAATATGATATTTAAATCAAATTTATGAACTATATGCTAATTCATGAGGCCAAACAGCTTAAAGGATGCATAATCATGATTAAAAAATTCTCATTTTTGTTTTCATATTGGCAGAATTGCACTGTAAAGGTTGGACTAACAGTTCCTGGACAACAGGCCTTTCTCAAGCCACTAGAGGCCACCATTGCTCTACTATATCAAAGATAGGTGGCCTTTAACAAAGAGTCCCTTAGTTGTGTCATTTTGTAGAAATTTAAAAGGTAGAGTAAAATCAAAACACATATCTTTATAAATGGACATCATTGTGTGTGTGCAGCCAATCATTGTGTATTAGAAATATCCAAATGTACACAAACAGAATATTATCATTGTATAATCAATACTCTTGACAGAAAACCGCAAGTACATAAAACACAACCAATGTACTTATTGTCTCCACCATAAAAACCACAACAATCACATTGAACACAACAGCAGTTCACTGACTGTGGTGCCACACAGAATATTCACAACTCAGTTCATCAGAAGAATCATTTTCAGACTGGCTCAAAATTTCAGGAATATCTAGAAAACCAAAGATGAATATCACAAAAATAACAAATCTCTGTTGACGAAAAGTAAGGACACAATTTAAGAACTTTTTATACTCCATCAGACACAGGAAAGTTATATCCACGTAGAAAGGCAATGTACAGGAGTTCTGATAAAAACACATGCCAGTCAAGAGGATGGCAGGTCAAATCAGCACAAGTAGAAGCCTGTGAACACAAAATAGTTTTTGTTTTGGCTTTCAGTGATGTATTACAGATACATAGTTTTGTCTGAAATGCAAAACCACTCTGCATGTTACAGATCTAGCTACCCACAGAGAGAAATGATAAGAAAGGTGAATCACCCAACCCTGTGACAAAGATATCCTTTCCCCTTGTGTCAATTGCACTTCAATAATTCTCCTGCAATGCATTTTAAAGCCCTTTTCTATTATTTCCACTCATCTTCTCTCAGCTGTACTAGCGTGAAATGGTTCTTCAAGGACAGAGGGAAATGTTTCATCTCTGGACCTCATCTTCTACAGTCCTTCACGCATACATACAGCTTTGCTAAATGGATGCTCCAACACGAACACACACTCTAAGACCATCGCACAGGATTGCTGTGTTTGTCATCCCAGCAGAGAAACGCATTAAGGATCTCTAAGTAAAGAAACTCCACGGAAACAACTAAATGGATGCTTCTTCCTTTTCCTTCTCCTATGTTAAATCTTTTGATTCTCTGTTATCAACCATCCAAACTTCCTGTCCTTTACGTAGACTCCCTGGGAATCCTCCTGTGGAAGACCACTGACTGCCTCTGCTGAAACTGCTGCTTCCTCCTTTTTTTCTGGTCCCACCGACACAACAGTATCATCTTAAAGGTTGTGCGGAAAGTCTTGTTGCACAGGGCGTAGCACATGGGGTTAACTGTGCTGTTGACATAGCACAGCCAGTACCCTACTGCCCACAGGG